AACTGACGACATTCTTCTAGGGTCTGTACTCTGCATCCTGAGCATCCACGTCTGATAAGAAAATCATTAGGAATATTCCCCCCCATCAATGTTTTTATAAAATTGTCAACTTCTATCACTGACTGACACAACCACAAGAGTTATTATTTCAAATATATAGACAGCAGATATTGTACAAAAAGCACTTATACAGTGCAGAGCTTAAGGTGGCCAACATCAATTGATTGGACAGTGTAGCAGTGCAGTAAAAAAAATCTGTTTAACAGCCTTCAAATCAAGTTTCAATGGAGAAAAAGTGTGATGGTCAACACCTCAACTCCTAACTCTAAAACTAAATTTGAAAAAAAATGAAGAAACATGAGGTTCAAGTGAATAAGTTATTTATTCTTTTCAACAAATGGAATATTAAAAATAAGCATGGACTAAAAATCCTTGAAACTTTTGAGATACATGTGCAGTAATATTGCTGGAGTACGTGCTAAATGTGCTGTGTACATTTGCTTGATGTGCATGAGCAAATTCTCATGTAATTTAGTTAAGTATTTTGCTAGAAATTTCCTCAATGGAACAATATACTCTGCTCTTTTCTCAAGTACATGCATTAAAAATAAATACATCATTTGGACTGTGATAACCATAAAATAAAGAACAAAGAATTTGTTTGGATACATCAAAACTATGAACTGAAGTAAACTGTACATATAAAGTTCGACAGATCCTTGGCATGTTAATATTTGTTTATTTGCATAGCAAGCTGTTGAAACTGACTCTTTCCTGTAATGTCAATTTTCATTCCTGCAAAATTTTTAGGTACAAACTTTTACTATCAGCAATGATCAACTAAAACACACTATGTGTATAAACAAAAATGGGTCTTCTTAAAGATCAATATCTCTCAATTGAGTGAATTATTAATTAGTAATTGATTATTGTCTTATGCAAAATGGAATTACATGCATGTATTTATATCTTGAAAATCTTTACACACGACTGAATAAGAGAAATAAATCTATTCTAGCTGTTAGCAAAGTGTAGCCTCTATTAATGCAGCATTCAAGGATATTCATGATTTATTTCTTGTCGGTGTTTAAAACTGTTATATTTTTTAACACAGTAAAATACATGGGGCGTTTCTGGTCTCTGGTATTAAGGTATTCTTAGCTAAACGATTCAGCCTCGCTCAACGGAAAAATACTTTGAGTCAAGATTTCACATTTATAGTGCCTCAACTTATGACCAATATTAAAAGTGTATTCATTAAAACTGCATTTGTGACCAATATTAAAAGTGTATTCATGGATCATCAACAGCTGATCCATTTCCTGATATGTAAATATGCTTATTAATGTTAATAACCTAACCCTGCTTCAACTGGTGCTGACCTATAAAATTCATGTAAATGGTGCAGCACCACAATGCATTGCTTTTTTAAATGAGACAGGACGTTTTTCTTTTAAGCACACATTGTAAGAACATCTTCAACTTGTTAAACTCTCTTCTGAAATTGCTCACTAGCCACGCATTTGCAAGGACTCAGAGACCAAGGCATGATGACCATGAATGTAAATTCAAGCAACCTGAACTAGCAAAGCCAATCTGAGTTTGCTTCAAATATTTACTTTCTCAGTGGCTAGCTTTTGCTGCTGTTCGAGGACCAGCATCGCCAGCTGCGATTTGGAAGCAAGTCCCTCCGCCCGCCCCTCCAAACATCTCTGGTACTGTTCCTCCTTTAGGGAGGGTTGGCAGATCCGTAGATGGTAGTGCAGCTTCAGGGCTGGGTCTACAGCTCGGAAGGTATGCAGCTTAGTGCTAAGGAACATCTCAAAGAGGTCTAGATCTGACTGGATGTGGTCTGTTTCACTTCCTGGGTGTTTCTCATCCCAAAGTTTCCTGGCGTTCATGTAGTCCGAGTTGTAAAAGCTGGCGTGCTCAAAGAGGTACGTGTCAAAGTGTCCGGCGGTTTTGGAAATGTCAATGCGGTTTGGGTTGGGTGAGTCGGTGTAGATGATCTTGGGGTCGTACTGAGAAAAGGGGATGGGGAAAAACACCTGCCAACCGGCGATGGTGTTCATGCGGACACGGTTGAGGAACTCAGCGACAAGCTCCATGTAGGCGTTAGTGAAAAGGAAGAGAGTGTCTGAGGCAAACTTCTTGGAGACCACATCCATGATGGCGATGGGAGAGGGTAAGCTGGTCTTCACACTTATCCAGGACAGATGTGAGCCGGGGTACTTGCGCTCCAGGTAAGAAACATAGCCCTTATTCACACTGTAGATATCCTCAGTAGCCATTGACAGAGCCTCTGTCGGCGTATAAATAAAAATCAACATGACGGCCGATTTGTCCCGGGTCTCTAGACAGGTTCGGGCGTAATTGTCCAAGAAGGTTCGGACGTGTTCTTGGCTGCCAGACACAACGGGTACAATGATGGTCACCTGGGTGTATTCAGTGACGTAGGGCATGAAGACTATCTCTGCTTTGTTGAGGGGTCTGAGGAGGTGGACTCGCTTCAGGACTTCTCGCTTGTCGCCGTGGAGCTTGAGCTCCATATCAAGGGTGTACTCCATCCCACGATTGGGATCGAATCGCCGGTATCCATTCAGCAGCCTGCCAAGCATGTAGATATTCCCATGGAGCTCATTCAAGCGTGCCATGGTTGTGGTGAGGATCTCGTCGATGTCCTGCTTGTTTGCGCCAATCAGGGGAGATTTGGGTTCTGAATCATCCAATCCATAAATGTGCGTCATTGAGAAGTACTCCCATGCCATGACATCAAATCGTGATGCCGGTTTGTAAGGACTTTTTAATCCCACCGGCCAGGTAACTTTGGCCTTCCCCCCTGGTGCAAACTCACTGATTTCTTCGATGTTTTGCTGGAGGTCTGAGATCTGCTTCAGCGTTTGACTCAGCGATTGCTCTGAGAAGTACTTGTGTAGCTTGTACATGGTGCGTGTGTCCATCACGTGGTAAATTGTTAAGGCCTTCTGGAAATCAACATCATTTTTCTCCTTGTCTGTCAAAACCTTGTCTTGAAAATCATAGGCGTAAAACGTTGAGCCCTACAACATAAAATAACAGAGGTCAGAATCAATTTGAAGGAACTTAAGCATGGATCTGTTTGGGGACAATAAAAATGCGATACATGGCATTTATAACTTATTGAGTGTTGTCAGCTGAGATTTTAATATGCAAGATAACATGCTTGGCTAAACCGTGAACCTAGAAAATCAATGAAATAGTGCCCTGTTTGGAAATGGAACTGATTTTGAATTGAATGAACTTCATCACCTCATAATTGGTGGAACACCGTGTGTTGGTGTGGTCCTGAATGCATCGTCCAAACTCAAGATCAGGGACGTTATTCCAGGATTTCCGCATGCAGTCCTCCCAATATGGTCCAACCTTTTCAAGTAGATTCCTAGACAGCATGTACCCTGAAACATTCAACAACCGATAAATGGTAGCATAAATAACAGATTCTCTCGGGGTCCATCTCAACAAGAATTTCAAAATTTCAATACAAATGTATGTTCTCAATTCATGCTTCATGATAAATTGTCAGAAAGAGTTCCATATCCCACCGTTTATCTTCCTTAAAATGACTTTAAAACTACCAAAAGAGTAAATCTGATGATGAAATACTATTTTGGAGGGAAATATTTCAAGTTTTATTTAAAAACACTGATTACTTTTGCTTCTTGCTGTTACATGTACACTTAGTGTATACAAGGTCTAAGGTGGTGGCCAGATATGGAGGTCCGTGCAAATGACCTTTTACCCACAGCAAAGCACTTCACCACAATAGCTGGACTAGCCCCCATCCCTATCACATAGTGACCGGTAGCTGGCTGCGGCATAATGTGAGTGATTACATGTAGTCCTGTTGATTTGGATGCCGAATATTTAAATTTTTGTCAGACCAATTACGCTGCAGCAAGAAGCGAATAAAACACAGGTACCTATTCTTGGTACGCATCTATCGATCACAGTAAGGGAACACATTTTTCAATGATTTTCATTGATAAATATTTTACCGCAACTTATTTCAAATCAGTGGTTACTGTGTTAAATTTTAGATAAATGAACAGTGAATGGTGAAGTTTTTTTGATAATGAAGAAGAAAAAGCAAAATATTCTATCAGCTCTTGCTTGATTTGTGCATTGAGTTGGCATCATTTCCTCATTTACATATACTCGGCAGGATTCTACCCAATTCATTACTCGCTACCGGTCCCTACGCTCCGAGGACGTCTGTAAGATGTCTGAAGACTACATACAGGACAGGAACCAGTTTACACAATAACCTCCACATTGAGTCCTATCCTAATCTCCCCTTAACTAAGAGCTACCAAGCTCCGCCCCTCCATTATCCTGTCCAGTTTTCAGGACGAGTTCCATACACATGTATGTAGACATTAGGCCGTACTAATTTTTCTCGACAGTGGTGTATCGATCATCCAAAAGTGATAACATATCCCAAAGAGTCAAATCTGCAAGGAAAATATTGAATTGGAGTCAACTCAGTCCCAGGTCAACTCGGTCTATGTGATTAAAAAAATGAACATGGTAAATTGTGGGGTAGATCTTGAGCAGGGACTGGACCGTGATGCTGTGAACACTGCAATTAATGTTGTCCGGTAAACATGTTGCCGAGAGCTTGGTGCCAGCAGGGAAAACATAAATAATGCCATGTTAATCCGAGTTGACTTGAAACGGAGTTGACTTGAGACCGAGTTGACTTGAGACCGCTTTGACTCGGGCGGAGTTGGTTTCGGACCAAGTTGACCTGCACCCAAAATATCGAAGCAATCACACAGAAAGTAGTAAGCATTTTTCAGAGCAGTCCATGTACACATCCGTGTATGGAACCGTTTCCCAGTTTCCTTCTAACCGACCTGCATCCCTGCTACAAAATGTGACATCCATCTCCGCTTCATGAATCGGAACTCCCATGTACAAGTCTCTTCCGACACTCATGTGGGCCAAGAACTCTGAGAAGACCTCGCCATAGATGTACGTATCATCTTGGATGACTAAGAACCAGTCATAGTCGCTGCCATGGTGCTCGTAGATATATTTCCAAATTTGGAACATCCTAACGTTGACCTGTTCTCCCGGGAATGCAATAACTGTTATACCATTTGGTGATTGCTCTGTGTTAATCTTGGTGAAAAACACTAACTTATTTACAAAATGGCTGAGTGTCTTATTGATTCCGACCGTTGTTGACTCCAAATCTATCTCCTCTCGTGAGACCATCACACCCACAAACAACTTCTCTTTGATCTGGAGCTCAGACGAGATGTATCGCATTCGAATAAGTCGCTGCCGATCAATGTCTTTTTTCACAATTGGCTTATTCGCTGTCATCAGCACCGGTTCAAAATCTTCATCATTCAACTGGTTGCCGTTCTCGTCAGTTCCGTAATCTATCATGTCGACTGCACTCGTTTTTCTCTTTGTCCCCACATGTACGTAACTGTCAAGGCCACAGCCAGTTTCTAGAGGTATACAGAGAAAGCTCAGGACAGCTCCAGCAACAATTCCACATGCTATGTAGATCACGGTGCGTGATCGGCTCATTGGTCGGTTTCTTGCCATGATTTGAGTGAACTTTGCCGGTATTTAAATTCCTGTACTAGATCAAGCAAGGGATAGATCATTATCTGATTATGATGCAAAGCAATGAGTTATGACTGTAAGCACTTGTTCTTCGTAGCTCTCCATTTCCGTTTACACATGAGTAGTAAAAAGTGGCATTTCGTAAATGCCTATTTCTTGAAATCAATCAAGCGTCTTCCTTCCGTCTGTGTGCCTAGCGCCTCAGCTCAGCTCTAGGTAGCTGCATGTACAAAATCATAGATGGCGCATATCAGCCTTATCCCCAGATCCTGCAACTTTAATGCACAACGTAAGGAAAGTTTGTGAGTTGAGGTCGGTTGACATGAGAACGTGGTTGAGCCATGCGCGTTTTGTCTAGACAGAAATACCCCCTAACTATGCAAATTTATCCAAATATCTAAATTGTTGACAAAGCGTTCACTTGCTGTTTAAAAAGAAACTACTTTATCAATGCATTTACTTTCTTAGTTTTTCATCTTTAATTAACTGCTTAAAAGAAAATGTACGCGTTGACATATCATCCTTCCTCAAAATAATAATCTCACTGACTACTTTTTCAATCCCATAATGCATTTCCCTTACAACATGGCGACTACGGAGGTGAGAAAGAAAATCGCAATTTCTGTTTAGCTATTGATCCATTCCTTTTTAAGAGAGAAAATAAGGTAACTGGGATTTATCAAATTTCCTCCCGTCGTTTGATGCAGGTAATAATTGCTAGATTCGTACTGGTTGGTATTTTTCCCTTTGACATGAAAAATTTTCCCATTCATGCCAATCATCATTCATGCCATTGGCATTGCCTTACGCGCCGCACGTTTGTTTTTGCTTTGTCATCTTTTCCTAATCTTACCTCTCTGGTCGTACATCATATCATAACGTGATATATTTATTTATATTTTGTGTATTTTATTCCCCTGTCATGCCAGCAAGGCATTTTTTGCTGGGCCTAGAGCTCTTATAATTATTTTGCATTAATAATTTTTCTTTTGTTTTATGAGTGATCATGGTGATCAGTGTTTTGTTTTATTTGGAGTTGTTGGCTGGACTGTGTTTGTTTTAGCTTTTTGTCTTCTTATCAAATAAACATATTGCATCATTAATTGTGTAGAATGAACAGGCATTTTAGAAAGCATCTAAGAATTTTACTTATAATGATGGAATGAGAAATAACTTTTTCTCAATTCCATATACATTTTCATGTTTTCAATATTATCATGAAACTCAATGAAGTGATGTTTCTACAGCTCAAAAAAAGAACATGTCTCACATTTTTCAAGCACAAAGTGATGTTTCTCTGTATGGGTTTTAATTGCAGATGGAAGTTGACAATGGTGCTAAAGGGGATGGACCAAAGGGAGAAGGAATCCGGAAGTACTACATGACAAAGATTGATGAATTGCAGATGGTGGTCACAGAGAAAAGCCAGAACCTGAGGAGATTAGAGGCACAGCGTAATGAACTCAATGCCAAGGGTGAGAAAGGAAAGAACTGCATACATAAACAGATGCCACTGACTTTTCCCTGCAGTGACCTATTAGCTATCTTAAAGCAATAAAATATCCTCAAAGGTCAAAGTTTAGTAATGAAAATATTGAGATATTCCCATAGAAAACACTGAGAAATTTTCAGACTAGTCTGATAGAGTTTTTGCGTAGGGTGTCAACTAGCATCCATATGTGGCATTTTGTCCTTGAGTAGGCTTGAGAAGCCTGTGAAGGAAGGTGTCATGATTTAATAGCGTGTAATAATTATCTCTTTTTCATGTTTTATGTTTGGTTTTGATGATGGAATACCCCAGCAGAAGCTAAAAGCTTTGCCAACAGCTCTAAATAAAATGCCACTTTAAAAAATAAATAAGTAAACAAACAGCCCAACAACCCAACAAAGCAAACAGCCCAACACACCAACAAACAAACAAACAAAAAGCCTGTCTATAAATGTAACATTAAATGGTTTGATTCATATGTTACTGATTTTTATAATACTTGCTTTCACAGTGCGCATGTTGCGTGAGGAACTACAACTTCTCCAGGAACAAGGGTCTCATGTTGGAGAAGTAGTTAAAGCCATGGACAAGAAGAAAGTCCTTGTCAAGGTTAGTCTCCAGATCAGATGTTTATCCAGGCATAGTTCGGATTTCAGTGTGATGGCAAGTTCGAAATTTGACTTTTTTTTTTCAAATTTTGTGCTTTATTTTTGACCAGGTACACCCAGAGGGGAAGTTTGTGGTGGACATTGATAAAGCCATCGACATCAATGATGTACAGCCAAACTGCAGGGTAGCACTGCGCAATGACAGCCACACTCTCCATAAAATACTGCCAAACAAGGTTTGCAATCACCAAGCATTTCTCAGAGATAAACTTAATTATGACTTCCAGTACATTTAAATTGATGCTAACGACCTGCTTTTGAATTGAGTCCTCCATCTTTTTGCAAACTGAGATCAGTTAAAATTTTTTTTTCCGGTTTCCTGAGCTCACAAATGGATCAGCTACCTGAGTTTAAAAAAAATCTCAGTGCCGTACTTAAAAAGTGATTTCCATGGTTGGTTCCCTCACCCAACAGGTGGATCCCCTGGTCAGTCTGATGATGGTGGAGAAGGTACCAGACTCTACCTACGAGATGGTCGGAGGTCTGGACAAACAGATCAAGGAGATCAAAGAAGTCATTGAACTTCCAGTCAAGCATCCCGAATTGTTTGATGCTCTTGGCATTGCCCAACCAAAGGCGAGTGGCTTCTGATTCCTTCTGATTGAGCCAGAGTTCATGAATGAATTGCAGGTTTCCTTGACTGATAACAGTGAACGATTTTTATTCTCCACTAAGTGAGCTTCTTTTTTTGTTATGTTTCTGCAGGGAGTGTTGCTCTATGGACCCCCTGGCACAGGTAAAACTTTACTAGCCAGAGCAGTTGCCCATCACACTGAGTGTACGTTCATTCGGGTGTCAGGCTCTGAGCTGGTACAGAAATTCATCGGCGAGGGATCCCGCATGGTCAGGGAACTCTTCGTCATGGCTAGGTATTGCCAGAAATACTCGTTCCTCATCTAATTATGTTTGCATCACCTAAAGGTTGTAAAGAACGTTTGAGAGTTGGGAAAGATTCTAGCTAACAGAGGCTTTCAATATTTGATATTAATATGACATTATGGTAACCAAGGAAATGTTTGTTTTCTTTATGAAAGAGAGCACGCACCATCCATCATTTTCATGGACGAGATTGACTCCATCGGGTCAACGCGTATTGAGGGAAGCTCAGGGGGTGACAGCGAGGTCCAGCGCACCATGTTGGAACTGCTAAACCAGCTGGATGGGTTTGAAGCAACCAAGAACATCAAGGTGGGCACCAGAATCCTCTCGCTGGGTACTGATGGATGGATGCTGGGTACTTTGTATATATTTACTGTGCTTTGCAGTGGGGTACCTATTCTTTATAATGGGTACAAAGCTATGGTTACTAGGTACCATGTAGTACACGAAGCTGAAATTGCTTAACCCACTAGATTGGTTCAAGGGTACAAAAATCTTGAGGTGAGAATGCTGGATTCAGTTAGTTTCTTTTGTTCAGAAAGGAGCTCCATGTAAGTATTAAAAGGATATTAAGCACTCAATTGTTGATGAAATTTTCCGGCATGTTCATATAACCTCATGAACTATGTTGGCATTTGGTATTTTCATCATGTTTCTGAAATATTTAAAAGCTGTAAATCCTAGATAAATGTGAAGTTTGTTTTTCTGATATCTGACAGTTTCATTTACATTCATTTGTATGATCCAGGTGATCATGGCAACTAATCGTATTGATATTCTGGACTCCGCCCTGCTCCGCCCCGGCCGCATCGACCGCAAGATAGAGTTCCCACCCCCCAATGAGGAGGCTCGACTGGACATCCTCAAAATCCACTCCCGGAAGATGAACCTGACGCGGGGCATCAACCTTAGGAAGATCGCCGAGCTCATGCCCGGTGCCTCGGGAGCCGAAGTCAAGGTGGGTGGGGTTAGCTTACGCCCACCAAGACGGGCGGATGGGAAGAAGGCAAGGGAGAGACCCTCGTCATTTCTTCCGTGCTGTCTCATGTAAAGCAGTACAGCGTACCTGGATAACTTGGTGTCTTGAACTTACCTTCCCTTAGTAATTGACAGTGTTTGTGGTTAATCTGCAGCCTTCATATCTTTTCTATTGTTATTACTAACTAGGGGGTGTGCACAGAAGCCGGCATGTACGCACTGAGAGAGAGAAGAGTACATGTGACACAAGAAGACTTTGAAATGGCAGTGGCCAAGGTAATATCCCCAGTTCTTGATACGAATCGTCTTTGTCCTTGTCTCTTTTACTGCTAATTTGAGAGGGAAGGAGGGGCATGTCGGGTTGACGGGGGGAGGGGTAGGGATGGGGAACAACGTTAGGGATAGAATAGAAGAAAGCCAGTTTTCATTGTCACCGATATGTTAACAGAAATATTAAAAATGCCATTTCGTCTTTGTTTTTTTTTCCGTGCTCAGGTGATGCAGAAAGACTCGGAGAAGAACATGTCCATCAAGAAGTTCTGGAAATAAAATGCCTGAAAAAAAAATCTGCTCTTCGGAATCAAATGCCCTGGCACAAATGGCTCCGTTGTTAGGGTTATTATAAGTTAAGATTGAAAAGAAAAATAAACAAATTTGACTAGGAAATCCTTGAAGTGAGATTTTCCCCCAGGTTAGATTTTTTAAAAATCAGTGCTATTCACCTCTTTTCCCACAAAGTGAAAAAAGCTCTTTATGAAACATTTTCTGATGGATTTTAGAATAGTATCTGCTCCGAGCGGAACAAAAGAGGGCGTGGGTTGTTTTTTTTTTTTTGGTACTCGCCACAGAGGCACGCCATGAGCCCTCAAGTATATGGGTGTACTTCAGCTTTGGGCGCATAGCTTCTTCCAAAAAAAAATGAACTCGGCAAGTACTGTTTGTTTATTGATTCCTGTGAAAGTTTGCTTAGTGCTGACTTTTTGTAATTGGAAATTTGTCTGTATCTCAATAAAGTGACGACCTGCAACTATCGAACAGTTTTGTGTCATATTAGAAACTTCTGTCCATGCCGCATTCATTTAGGATAAAATATCGGTATATGTCTAGTCACTTGTGTCACTCAAAGGTACGATTTTAGCAGCAGGAAACAAGACTGTCGTCCACTTCTTGTACTAATGATATTTTCCCAGGCTTTGAAACGAGTCAACATGAGAAAGGAAGGGTGAAAGTGTACCCTCAAAATGACAATTCACAAACTTCAGAGTTTGGCAAAAGTTAATACATTGTGTTCGCTTCTGTTAAATTGCTAAGAGTTACTTTTGACTTGTCTGGAGTTGTCATAAAATAAATGTATAATCTTTAATGCCGTAAATTTGGCGTGTGCCTGTCATAAAGTGTTCCTAAATAAACCCTTTAACACATAACGCTTCAGTTATGTTCTTTCCTCTGAGTTGTCTTATTACGTTTTTTTTTTATCAAAGGTTAAGGGTTCGAACTTTTTTGTGAGGATTCTTCCTTCTCAGAAAGGTGTGTACATGAGCACGCTCACAAAATTGGTTGACGTGCTGTCGTTGACTGATTGTTTCAGCTCAGTTTTAAAGCTTTTCATTGTGAAGGTGGCAAACTAGGTAAAGGGTTTGCGGTAGCACCATGCAAGGATATTGTTTCAACATAGGTCTGTGGTTTCAGTGAGGATGACATACTGCGGCCGGATAAAATGTATTTCTGACATTTAACAGGAAATTCAAAACTACGATGCTCGTGTTTTACCCGATACTCTACTCCCTTTCCACGTATAAAAATGATTTGGTCCAAGAGCTCTTTACTTGGTCCTGGTATGAAAGAGTGATTTATTTCCGACCAAGGTTTTTCTGTACATAAATGTCGTTGGAGGAAGTAGGAGTCAGCCGTGCACTTTGCGGACCGAATCAACTTGAACAAGACATTTTCGTTTCGTGTGTTCGGGACCGTCCTCCGAGTTGTTAGTGAGGCACGTACACCGCGTGCCACACGATAACCGAAGTGACCCTTTCTTACCCTTGAGGGCAATTTCTGGACCGGTTCCTTGGAAATATGACACTCAAAATAAGCACAGTCTTTTTGCGGTGCTCCCTAGTGTTAAACGTAGAACAAGCTTAGGTGAATTGTGTGACCACTGAGGAAGGAAAACTGCTATCTCCACGTCTGTACGACCAGCAGTTGGACTAAGAGCATCTATGAAGAAAATTCTACAGCTAACTAGAGAGTCAGTTTTTCGTCAGAATTTGTAGATCTGTTCGTCGCTGTTTGCCACTCTTGTACAGGTGAGGAATGTCCTCTTAACTTATGACGTTTTGATCTGGGCTAGGATGTCTGAAGGCCTAACAAAATGAATTCTCTTCGGTCATGTGTCCACACGTCCATGCTACGCTATACCAAAAGTATGGCTAAACATGTTTACATCATACTGACTTCTGCACGATACTGGTCCATGAAATTGAAAGATAGCATGTGGTTTCATGGTTGGTTGGTGTCTTTCCTATCTTGTGTCGTCGGATTACACTGGATTAAAGTAATGTGGATTAAAAACCACAGGGAGCCACGTGAGTCATGTTACAAAACTGCAACAAAGAGCAGCTTTGTACTTTTGTGGCTGAAGATTTACAGCGTCTTGAGCAGGCGACATACCCAGACAGAAGTAGCCAGCTCTCGTCGGCGAGTGCATAAAAAAATTGAACACAAGTTCTTGCGGGTCCATTTCTGTTACTCCCGCGGCATACATCTTGTGACAGAATCAGTGTATGTGGTGCAGCCTAAGGAGAAGGAATGGGTCACATATGGTGACCATTCCTTGCGTTCTTCACTTCAGTCTTCCAACAAGAGAGGTACTTTCACAACAGGTGGCGGACTTGTTAAGACGGACGCTTCATAGCGGATGAGTTTGTTGAACCGAACTAGGTGAATAGGAGACTTTTTTCACTGTTGAGCTATTCCGTCCTCTATACTTTCGCGTCAAAAGATGGTGTTGTGTTTGAAACAGTTGCCCGACAATGGTCATAACAAAACATTGAAGCAGCTGGTTTTTTTTGGGTTCATTTCTTTGATGTAATTACCAATAACTATCTTACTAGACTCGAACTTCCCGTTTCTTTTACAGATAATATTCTTCCTTAGCAACCGCGATGTCGTCGCTTTTCTGGCCACTCGTGGTCCTCTCTCAGCTCTGTGGAGTTACCATGCTGGTTACCATGGTTATATGGTTACAACACCACGTGGGAGGGTTTGTGTGGGGTGCTGCCGGTGGATATCATCCATTACTGCTGACTTTATCCCTGGTTTTCCTCTTTGGTGAAGGTATGAATTTTTCTGTGTTCACGCTAGATGGATTTTTTTTTATGATTGTTATTCATTTAGAAATTGGCAAGAATTGTGACCTGTTACACAAGAGAAAGTGGTGTTAATTTTAAGAAAGTACAGTGATTGGTTATTCATTTGCTTGTTTGCTTTGATTGTCTGTTTGTCTTGCACATGAATTTGAATTTAATGACGAAACATTAGATCTTAGTAAAGGCGCCAATTACAATTTGCTTGGAGCCAATCGACACTCCCCTCTGTCACTCCTTCTTGACAAACAGCGACAGTTCATCAGCAGTGACCTTGATGATTTCTATTTGGCGCCCATTTTGTCATTATCTTGCAGCTCTTCTATCATTCCGTGTTTTCAGTCGTTGTGGCCTGCCGTACCTCGCCCAAAAGGCCATGCATGCTACCGTCCACACAGCCATCATTATCCTGTTCATCGCCGGCCTCCGCGCCGCAACCGTTGCCAAAGATGCCCAAGAAAACCCAAGTGTTGTTCACAACTACTCCCTCCACAGTTGGCTCGGCAACTTCACAGTGGTTCTGTTTTGTTTGCAGGTGAGTGCAACTTAACCACAAACATATATGTACATGTACTTGCTGGCTTCTAAAACTACTTTACCCAAGACACACATCTAAATGTTTTCACAACAGTTTGTTACGTGGATTTTTGCTCCCAGTTTGTTGCAGGGTGTGCTTACTACGGTGCCGAGCGATTCCTGAGACAGGACCACCCCTTGAAGACGCACTACCCCAAGATCCACGTTTTCTTTGGCATGTTCATGTTTTCACTCTCCTTAGCGTCCTGTTTGACGGGATTAAGCGAGCTTTCCATTTATGAGATGTGAGTTTTATTTGTTATGTAATTTTTAAACGTTACGATGTCCTGAAGAGTCGAGCATCATTTCAGCTAGTCTTTTGTCACATCTTTGTAGTTACTGATTCTTCTCAAAGGTTCCCTAAAACCATCGATGGAACTGCATTAAACGGTCGATGCTCGAACTTCCTTTGACTGATCATCTCTAAGATTTCACAGCACTCGTTTGAACCCAAGCTCGACTTTCAAATCCATTTCTCTTCTCAGAGCTGAGTACGCGCAGGGAGTCGCATCGGGGAGTGTAGGCAACGTCTACGGTCTCTCTATGGTTCTATTTGGCGGCACGATCGCCTTCATCGTCATGAGACCAGAGTTCAAGAATGACATGACGCAAAACGTCGAATCGCCTCAGCAATGCCGTTCAGACTATCAAGACGTCACACCCAGTGTGCATGTCATCGTCAATGATGACGCCACGGAAGATGGAGACAGATCAAGGATGCAAAGCGAGGATTCTGCTTGAAACAGTTGTCTGTCTTTTTGTACACTACTTTTGTAAAATAATGCTTTATTCAATGTCAGTGTTGATTAATCGAAATAGCCTGTAGGCTATACGGTTTTACTTAGCACAAATGTTTTCGCACAATGACAACAATATGACGATCGTTCTTTCCGGCACATGCACAAATGCTATAATAAAAATAAGAGACCCTTATAACTTGCAGCAGATTGCCTAAGGGAATAAATATGTGTTTGGCCGGTCGTAAGGCGCCTTTCCTAAGTACGTTTTTGGGTGAGTTGTGTACACGATGCATTTCACTTTCACGGACACAAAAATCGACTCCATTAGCGTTAGCACGTGCGCGTTACGTTTGGCCGTCAAAATCGCCCCATGAGCGATTTTGACGGATAACCAAAGTTTGGCGCAAGTGTTGACGCGCATATGGAAAGGTGGCTTTAAACGTGCGTTAAAGACCGGTGTGGCGGTTTCAGCTGTCTCGCGGTCTCAGCGGTCCCCCTTACCAAATATGGTAAAATACGTCATGCCATCTCTGCGCACAACAACGGGAAAGTCGTCCGTTTAATGTCCGGCTATTCTGGGAGACCACTGAGACCGGGAGACAGCTGAGACCGCCACACCGGCATAGGAGAATAGACGCGACTAATGCCCGAGTCGTAGGCGAGGGCATCATCAGCGTTCGCTCTCCTAAGCAAGGTCTTAAACGTTAGTTTAAGACCGGCCAAGCACATATATATTCCCATTCATAAATACCCTTTTATTCAAAGAGTCAACAGAAGTCAACGTGATGGATTTCCAACGATTTTTTTCTAAAATTTTACTTTCATTTTTCCCTACACCCCCGGCCATTTAATGGTAGACATGTATTCCTGTTGAAAGCTGTCCAATCGCACACTAGTTTATTTAATCGCTGGTCAACGTCAGCGGATGGAATTCAAACACAAAGGAGGGGCTAGGGAACCATGGTTACAGTTTCGTGGACGGGGAACTGAAAGGCGAGATTAAAAACTCAGAACAGTTGTTCATTGCGTTCCTAAGCCAATCGGCACTAGGCTACGAAGAGACAAGATTTCATGAACCAATAAGAAAGATGGTATCATACTCGTTAACAACTTTGGCCATCCAATCAAAACGCCTCAAACAGCCACACATCTAGAGTTGCCCTACACGTTGTACACATATGTACATAGTACATAGGCCTGCTGTATAATATATCTGGAGAGTAAATGCATACTCCTCGCTGAAAAAAGAATGTTTTCCTTTGAAGGTTAAGGTCACCCACTTGAATTGTGAATCACAGAAGTTACTAAACCCAGGTTGTATTTGGGCGTAATAAACAACGCTTTCCGAAGTTCGTGTGAAATGCAGACCTTCTCCGAGAGTTGAACGAGCAGTAAAAGTAAGTTGGCTTAATTTATTGCAACGTCGCTTTTTTGCTTTCATTTGACATGCTTATCAGGTTGTTGGTCGTCATGGTTGTAGTGCTGCGGTAACTGCGAGTTTATCCATTATGTATCGATGTGTCGGTACCTAGGATACAAATGTATGCTCCATCTAACCTCCAAGATCTATTGATTTGATCAGCGGGCTGCAAGGGCAATTACTTACTGTAGTTTTCACTTCAGGGTCATGCATGGCCCGGTTGTGAGGGGTGATCGGTGCATATTCAGGAATGATCACAGATCGAACATTCTGCCAGCATCAAACCTAGAGTGTTTTGTTACTGGTAGGGTAAGGGAATAAAACAGTAACCAACCGCCACCAACGCCGCAAAAAATAACACAAAAACAAAACTTGACTTAATAAAAGCTGAAGGGATGGTCCATGAAAATTTGTTCACAAGCTTTTATTGAACTCCATGTAAAGGTTTGGCTCTGTCAAACAACATGAACATTTTTACCCTCCATCTAAAATGGAGCTAAAGGTCCCAAAACAAAACTGCCCTCAATAATGTCATGTACAGATTGTAAATGAACTAGGTAAAGCGCTAGTGTTCAACATCCACTGAATGCATAATTACTGGCTCCAAAATAATTTACTAATACATGTACGGTACATGTAATAAGACATTTTGTTCAGTTTGTAATGCATGTTTATACAACATTTATGCACAGTACACATGTAAACAACATGTGACATCATTTTGTTTGGGGTTGATTTGCTCAGTTCAAGCATGTTGTTGTTTTTCAAATGGTGTATGACTTGTACATTTATGGACAAGCATATAAGCAAAGCTTTGTTTGATAAATTAATAGTGAGAACATGTAGCCCTGTGGTAAGGACCTTCTGATTATGGTGTCCTGAGTTTGAATCAACCTGGTGGCTACTTGTGATCTTGGGAGAGCCATTTCACCCCTACTTGCCTTAATGGCTGAATTAGCTGCACTGAGCTCTCTACTCCCTGGGAGTAAACATGCAGGCCTGTTCGTTCTTTGCACGCTGCCACCATGAGCCATGCAACAGGCTCGATCTGGCAGCTTTACGCAATCAATACAGCCGGTTTGGTGATTCCCGTGTATGTTGCTTACAATGTTGTGCGTGCTGCGTTAGTTCTTATATCATGTGACTGGACAAAGCGATTCTAATGCGATTGTACAGTTTGAGGCTCTGCATGCCTCTGGCAGCAGCGTGCAAAGAGCAAATACAGACGGAGCTGGGATGGTTTATAGATATTTGTGTTCACCTGGTGAACATGGGCAATGACTGAGAGGGACAAGTTGATGTATTTTTGCAGCACCTTGAGTACCAGTACTGGTAAGTATATGTGCATTATTTACAAAATAACAGCTCAAAATAAGTTTGATCTTTTTGGGGCTGGAAGCTGAAATCACAGTCTATTTAATCAAAATAAATGCATCAAGCTTGTTACACATTTTATGGCCACGGAGAAAAAAAAAAGATTACAAGAACATGTGGTTCTTCATGATTTCCCCAAAAGATAAACACACACAGTTAAGTCATTTTGCTCTTGGTGTTCATCTTCCAACCCTCCAGTGGCGTATCGGGGAGGGGGGCAATTTGCCCCCCAGATAGATCTTTTTTTTCTCTCACTAGAACAATACTTTGTGGGTGAGTAGGAAAGAAACTACAGGACATTTATTTCATATTACCCCCCTGAGAAAATAACATGAAATAAAAGGATGTCGGGACCATGAGTAAGGCTTTTGATTTTTTTCCCTCCCCAAAATCACGTTGAATAAGGCCAAAGCTGAATTCGCTTTTGAACCCACCCCCACTGCTGAACCAAAAGCTTGATTCACCACTGCAACCTCCCCACATGTGAGAAAAGAAAATTAAGCAGAAACCACAACTACACAACTTCAGCAAGAAAACGTCATCCTCTCTAGGACACCTGTCTACATCAAAGTTTACAAAATCTAAGTTCAGCAACTAGTACTTTCAAGCATAATACTGTACATCTCTGCATTAATTCATTGCAGTACTGTAAAAAAAGTACTTGAGTTAATAGAGAAGTGAGCTGGAGCTGGAAAATACAATAAGTTAATAATGAAAATCATACACATTTTCCATGCTATAGTAAATAGTAAATACAATCGGCAATATGACAAATGCGCTATACACCTACATAATACATGTACATGCTTTTTTTTTTACAATTGAAAAGTAAGATAAAGCAGATTTGAAGGCATTGGAAGTACCGGTAACAACTATGGAACAAGTCCTGCTTGCTAAATTCAAAATGGAGAAGAAAAATTGTGTTCAGTTACAAAAATCTGACATCTTATTAAGTCCTCAGCAAGCACCCATAAGCAATGTGACTAAATTACAAAAAATGCTGACAACTGATTTCAAAGCGCTGTGACAATCGTCTTCCAATCATTATTATTGTCCTGCATTGAAAGGTCATCACATTGACACCCATATCATCCATTCTCTTTGGTCTGCCTAGGACAAGAAAAATTATCCATCCTCAAAACTGCCACCAAACACAAATCCTTAACTTTAACAAATCACTGACTCACTTCTGTCTCCAAGATAACAAACAGGAACTGATAGTTTTAAATGCCTGCTTAAAAAAAGTGACTGTTACACTTAAAATATTTGCATAATTTCAAAAGTACTTAGTCAACATTTAGTAAATGTATAAAGTTCAATCAGTTTACACATTCTTTCCATTAAATGTAAATAAAAAGTATAAACAAGTTATTAGTTATTCATTGCAAACGTGTAAAATTTGACCATAACTTTCTGACCACATCACTTTCAAATGCAAATTTTGTTGATCTTTGATTGAAACCTAGAAATGACTTAAGAAGGTTCCAAATAGTTTTCCACTAAATATGTCTAATCCCACTAAACTTATTAAAGTTACCAGCTGTGTAGGCTCAATTTCCCTACCTTCCTCATCCTAACAATCTAATCCTGGCCTGATTTTTAGGAACTTTCCAGGAGTGTCTTTTTAAGGTTTATTTATTATTTTTTTGTTGTTATTCCACAGATTTTCAGAATAACGGGAACCCTAACACACCACTAGATACCAAGGCACAATTCACAAACATATGCCTACATGGAAGAAAACATCCTAAAAAAATCTGCATATCATTTATCTATATACAATGCTTAAAATGGGTTGAGCATTTCAAATTCCAGCAAAGACAATAGATATCCCCACTGTCTTGAAATTCTGTACTTCAAGGCTCACCTTTTGTGAGAAACGTCTGGCTTAATATGGTTGCTGGGATGAACCGGAAGGATTCTGATTTCATCTTGGAGACTACACCAAAATTATGTAATCTCATTACAGGCCCCAAGACACTAAAACATGAGCAGAGTCTATTTTCTTTCCACCATGAGGCATGAATATTGCTAGCACGGCAGAGCAGGTATCAACTGTCACACAGTATCTGTCATATTGGCTGAGAACTTGTTTTAATTTTACTATTTTTCTGCCCACCAACGTGTATATTCGAACTCTCCTCTGAATGCAGTCTGAGAACAACCAAAACACAAACAAAACCAATTTGTTTGGGTTGTATTTGAAGCTACCACTTCCTGCGTACTAGTGCAGACACTTTATCCACTCAACTGCCGTGTTTGCTGAGATGGGTCAGAATTGTCAGTCAGGAGTGATATTAATTTGGCTTTGTCTCATGTTAATTTTTGTTTGTTTTAGATCAAATTTTTTATGCTTAGTAATTTTTGGCACTCAGCAACTTTGAGAAATCGGACCCAAACAGACAAAAACAAAAATCATGTTACTATGTGTGTCTGTTTTATAGGGCCATCATACTAAACTGAAATGGCTCTTGTGATTTTTTTAGTAGGCTAGCTGCACTTGTATCAACCTTAAACATTTTAAACATCTTTAAAAAGCGACTTTGATGACACTAACTTGCGCTTCCTCACACACTTAAGCATAAACAAACAAAATATACAAGGCAGTTATTTACAGAGTTTAGTTCAAAAAGCTGTCTTAAAAGCACCAGAAAAAAATAAAACAAGATCTAAGAGAACTAAAAAAATAATTGATTCAAGTGTCTCAAGGGTATATTAAACCCTAATGGTTGAAATCATCTGTAATAACTGACAATTCAAAATGAGAAAAATAATTCCGGGAACCTTTTCTCTAGAAACCTTTTAGAAAACCCTGTTTTAAAATGCAAGAAAGTGAGCCCCAACAACCACCAAAATTTTCACATTATAGAAAACGTTTAAACGAAGTTACAGAGTTGTACGATTGAAAATATTTTTAAGTGTACTGAAGAGGTACAATAATAAGAAAAAATCTCAACATGTTCCTTGGGTTTCATTCATTTTGGATTGTCTCTATGAACCACATGGGGTCAACACTTGCTCCACTGATGTTGGCACTACACACACGTTAAAACCTAGGCATTGTGGGGACCCAAAACCTGGGGGCAAATTTCTATTCCCACAACTTGGTCTTGACTTTCCTAGCAAAAGAAGTTACAGCTGTGGTAGATCTATGTACTTTTTTTGTTGTTTTGTTTTGACTTGAAGGGACTGTTGACTTACTGATTGCACAGTAGAAATTTAAAAAATTATGCCAAAATGTTGACTTAAATTAGAGTCTAATAGACCATATTCGCGGCGTCCTCAATAATCAGTCGTATTCCTGAACATACAGCATAAATTTGACACCCGTAATGGGATGGTACCAGGTGATTTTGGGGGTCAGAATTAAATTGTAGAATATAGTCTGGTTCTTTGAATTTAACGTTTTCAAATAAATACACTTCATTGGGAAAATGAAATTGGGGACGCTACGAATATGGTCAATTCACTGACAGCAATGGTTCTTTTCTCCTCTGAAACAAATTATCCGTAAAACCAATAAAATGCAAATTGAATCAGTCAATGAAGAGGAAGATGTAAAGTGTGGAGTTTTATAGCATCATAGTTTGGGTGCTCAGATATGAAGTTTGAGACATTGTAATTTGAAATAACAACCAGACTTCAATCTACTTGGTATTAAACCTTATCAGATCTCATGAATTGGGGAATATTACTGGAATTTCAGAAAAGACACTGCTAGGTGCTAGTTATTCTTCCAAGCTCAATTTTGATTGATGAGAACAGGTATAATTTGATAGCCTTTTTCCCATTTATACACCCAACAGTAATAATTATGACTGCCAACACCCAACAGTAATAATTATGATTGCCAACACCCAACAGCATCACAGACATATTCTGTACAAACCCACAGGATACAAGACAGTTGATCAAATACTCACACAGTGCGTACAATTCCATCTGCTGATATAAACAGAGAGCTGCAAGAAAGTCGTTCTACAGTCTCAAGTCAGGTGACAAGCAATGAAATAAAGTAGAGCAGCAAAAGACAAACATGTATGTTGTTTGCACCCATGACCTAACGTGAGACCGGATTTGTGACAGAATTCCTGAAATCCTAACACAGAGACACACTATCAAATTCACACATCTTATACACGCAGATGCTCAAATATGTGTGGTGAAGCCTCTTAAGCTTTTCTCCAAGATAGGAATTTGTTCAGGGGGACGGTCGAAGAAAGTCAACTTCTCGCTTGATATTTCAGGAAGAAGCTTGTTTAATTTTTGGCATAGAAGTCACAGCGTAGAGATTCAAAGTAGAGACCATCTTCTGTAGTTATTTGCCGTATGTTGGATTTTTGAATACTGATGTTGACGGCTTGTAAATTGGGTTCTCTCCCTGATAGCAAAAATGAAAATAGAAATAAAACATTAAAGTTTGAGACACAAACTTGCACACACTAGTAAACTACAACGTCCTCTTATTGCTACTGGACACTTGGTCATTAAGTCCACTCTGTGGTATAACCTTTGAGCAGGACCAAGAGAGGGTGCTCTTTTTCTAGCTACAGAAGCCCCTTTGGTAGGAACTGACTTTGTTAGTTCACATGACTATGAAATGCAAGCGCTGCCATTGCGTCTCTATGAACCAAATGAACACTCCCCACCAACATGGCTCGTTTCAACCAATGAGGGGGGTGCTTCTGCTCATGTTGGATTCTGACTAACTGCAGCCATGATTTACATCGGATGTGTGTGCACAAACTAGGGTCAACTCTCGTTAATACGAGGGTTTTGGGACTTAATTATCTCGTATTATCCAGAACCTCATCTTAAGCAAGAAGTATTTTCCTACTCGTATGTGTCGCATGTCGATCGTACTAATTATGTGGCTAATTGTACGGCCCTGTTCTTGTCGACAGGTAATGAATTTGCTTTCAAAACAGTTCGAACATGATCTTTATGAAAGTGGAATATAATTACTAAATGAAATTTTGTCAACTTATGATGAACATGGCGTGCAGCATTGAAAAGAACGTAGTTTCATTCGAAAGGAATACAGCCACATCATTTATCCACGCTAACAATGGCAAAGCTTTTGCCAGTGGCGCACTGTTGGTGGACACAGACATGCTGATTTTTGGACCACAGCCTTCGCTACACCCATTAACAAAGTGTCCCTTACACAGCAACAAGGCACTCTTCACTGTTTTCAGTGAAGCGACAAAACACAGCACTGCCGATAACGATCTAATTCCAAAAGGCATGTCTTACTCTGGGAATCACAGAGATTTCACATTTGTTTCCAACATGTTTTGGATTCCATAGATTTCTGCACTCACCCCTTCCCATCGGGCATTGTTCCTTTCTTTCTCAAACTGTTGGAACTCTCTCCTGTCGTGGATGTAAGTCAACAGACGCCAGATTAGAAGCAGGGCTATACCCACTAGGATGATGCCGATTACAATACCAAGGATAATCCATAGCACATCAGATTCCCGGGGGCAAACTGCAACAGTTAACAATGGTTGACTTATGTGATGTGGGATATGATATTTTGAACACCTGACGGTATGCATGGCGCCCTCAGCGAAATTGTTCTGTCATATCTGTCTTGATGATGTTTTTCACTTGTTTTCTGAGGGAAGTTAATGGCGACAATGGGATCTTTGCGCGATTAGCCATTTCTGCATTGTGCTGTTCACTGCGTGAGTGCATGTTTTCATGTGATATCATACAACGCTGGCTGATGTGATGTCTAACAGTGAGTGTGACATGCGTTTATGTTGCCCAGTCAAGCGATCATTCTGGGCCAGTGAAAAAAAAGTAAGTATACAAGACAGAAGTATGGCAACATTAAACAATGATCAGAAATGTTTTCTCCAACAAGTATTGCTCATAAAGGCATTCGTACTCATAAAAAAACAGTCACACCTGTCCAGAAGTCAGCTAGCTTGTAAGACTGTGTCAGAATCAGCTATCTTGTGGCTATGACTTCATTTTCTTCCCATGTGTGCTATGTGACAAAAAGCCATAGCCACTGACAGAAGTGTGCACAGTACCATCCACTACTGTTCAGGATGGAGATGATTGATGTGTCACCATTACTTCACGCTCTGTGCCTGTCTTCATATGGAGCTTTCCATTAATACAATTATAGATCTTATGCATTGTCTAGTAGTCAGTCTTGAAGATAATGACAGGATGAGATGGAATTCTTAACAAACAAGCTTTGAGCAAGATATACGTCCTAGCCCATTTTTTCTAAGCTCTTTATCAAGTGGTTCAAAGTCTGGTACATACTTGGCTCCTCGACGGTTTCAAAGTCAGCAACGCCGTTGCCCACATTCCGATATGTAAACTTAAATTTGCAGTTGTTCTCGTCGTAGAAAGTACAAGACTGGAGCCCTAAAGGATCAAGAAATGAAAGCCAGTGTAAAACAATCAACACTCACATCAAGCGGCGTACAATCAATGCAATCCGAGCTATGGATCATTGCCACGAGTAGGCACAGATGGAAATGACTTTCAGGTGGGATTGCTAACTTTTGGTCAGTACAGAGTGATCAGTTATGCAAATGAGATCGTACATGTACTTCAATGTTCCATCTGCTGATTGGTTGGTTAGGGTCAGTCAGTATGTACCTGCAGGTCAAACTAACTACAGTCGGTTATAAACTGCAGACCTTGTTCACAAAGAAATATGGATGGCTTTTATAATCAGCTTCCTCGAAGAAACATGTTATTCTCACTACTTTCAACTGCATCAAAAGGTGTAGTTCTGTCTAACATCGAGGTCCAGCAAGCAGTTGTGCCCACAGCATCAGAGTCTTTTAGTTAAGAGTTTGCTAAAATATGACACGTATACGAAATATCTATATCAAACTGATGTGAAATACCCATATTACAATAAATCCTCCAAAACTTAGGCGAATCCTCTGAAAATGTTGGATGCCTGACCACAGGTTCATCCTTTGCCAGATTATTTCAATCCACTGACAAGTCACCTGTTAATGCACTGCAAACAATCTCTTCTGCCCCCAAAAACCTACTTGAGTCTTTTTTTAATTCCTTGACCACTGTCACATTGTAGGGGCACCTCAGGCATTCCGGAGTTTTCTTGTTAGGGTCGCTGCTCTTGTATTTGCCTGTATTGTACGCCTGGCACTGTACGCAGGGCTTGTGAAGATCACACTCTTGCGGACACCCCTGATAACAGTAAATATATTAGAATGAAGGATATGGAATGAGTATTTAGAAACTACTGCATAATTGAGGTGATGCCTTGGACTTGTTTTTTTGGAAAGTCTATATAAAATCAAATTGTTAAGTTGAATTGAGCAATTTGACACAGAATATTGCTTCATGCACTTTCGACATCCAACAAAGCCTGACTGATTTTCAGCTTGACATATTCTGTTTCTTTGAAGAAAACAATTGTTGAAAAGTAAAATCCATTCCACTTTAAGGTCACTCACCTTACAGGTATCGCACGTTTTTCCAAAATATTTCCTGGTGTCATTACAGATGCATTTACCGCACTCACAAACACCCACATTGCTGCATACCAGCTAAAAGAATAAAACATTGGACATCAAAACATGTTCCGGGGGTGTTGAGTTTGACTCCCCAGTTTTGTAGCGTGGTGCACTAAATCTATCTCATCTATATAATCAGCCTCCTGAGCAGTGTCCTTCCAGCCCTATATGTTTTACTTAATAACTTATTTAGTATATTGATCTACTTGTCTTTTTGTAAATAGTCTTAAGTGTAAATTAGCAATAATTCAGCCATATCTTATGGCTACAAATGCTGATTATTTCATAAATCATTAAACCAAAACCATTACAAGAGACCAAGGGTTGAAGATTCAATACATACCCCGTTAGGTGAACGGCAGTTCAGAGAGTTTATCTCACAGCCGCAGTTACTGCCTGACCATCCCTTCTTGCATTCACAATAATTCAGGCCTGTCTTATTGTTGCACTTACACACACCTCTCTCAGGTCCGCCACAAACCAGACCCCTGTAACGTTCACAGGAGAAGTTGTCACACTGGCACTTATCCCCAAAGATTTCTTCCTCTGGATTCTGCAGGGAGAATTAAGTCTTTCAATATCCCCTGGCTGTTTATTAGCGCCTGCTGCTAGACTGGACTTGAACCAGCTACCTAATACCAGCACACTTGACAATCGAGTGGTTCAGATGTCTGCACAAGCAAGCAGGATATTGGGGTTCAACTCCCATCTGAGCAACCTTGTGATTTTTTTTGTTGGCATCTCTCAAATTACACAGAGAATACAGTGTGACAACAGCGGCAGATATCGGATGATATGCCAGATATTTTAATTCAACGTTTCAAACTTTGTTGCAGAAGTTTACTGTTCACGATGTTGAATAACAAAAACAATCAAATCTTCCCAGAAAAAAATCGACCAAACCAAACTAATCAAACAAAACAAACAGAAAGAGGTTGACTTCAGTGGTTCCGCAAACCCTCCACGCTTAATTGTACAGGTTTCGTCAGAAACAGACAATTTAATAAAAATCGCAATGCTTACCGTTCTTGAATTGCACACACATTTTCCACATATGCACGAGCCCCTGTCAGAGCACTCCACAGTACTGTTTTGCCTGCATCAAAACATCACAATATTTTCTCCTTTTTTTTCATGTTTTGAATTAGGGAAGGATGCAAAATGAAACGAAGGGTAACTCATGGTTCCTCTCAAGGCCTCTTCCAGGTTTTGTGGGGCAAGAGTTACCCCTTCTTGAATTTTGTGATTTTCCCTCACTAACACTTTTCAATAAGAGGAAACTTTCCCGATAGGCTGTTTAACAAAAGCTGCTTTCCAAGGTGAGCAAACCTATTTGAATTCTTCACATAAATGGACCCCATGAGAATTCCTGAAACTATCCAAGAGTGAGGTTAAGGGCATTCGGGGCTTACCATACGCAGGTGGGGACAAGAGCCTCATATTCCTCAAGGTCGCATGAACATTTGGCCCCAGAGCGTCCCTGGAAACACTCGCAGCCCCCACAGACTTGCGTTCCATTGCCATTACAGATGTCTGGTCCTTCCAACTGAAACAGAAAGACTTCACATTAACTCCTCGGGAATCAGGTTGGTGTAGTGGTTCTTTCCTCACCTTCCCGCGGCTCGGTCCATGTGTGGATTGGGTTTTTTCAGTCCCTACTTGATTCCTTGAGTTTTACCCAGAATATTCCTCTGGGGTTTTCCTCCCACCTTTAAAACTCTATCTGCTTCTCACTGTCTCTTCTCAACAGGTTTTTTCAGGCTTGCAAGCTACAGAGTCTAGGACACTGTTGAGAAATCCCGGGTGTCATTACCAGAAATAAATAATAACATTAATAATAACATCAGCAAATTCACTCCTGCATTCTGCATAGACTGTGGTGTTGCTTAAAGGTTCTCCAAAAGAGGGAAAAAAGTTAACCTTGAAATGATTTCAATGTTGCTTACTTTTGTGTCTGTGCAGGCACAATCACACACTGCCTTGACTGTTATTTGTAACGATTCCTTAAACGCTGTTGGGCCTACAGAAAACCTGAAAATGAAAAATAACCAGGTTGTACTATTTGCTATAGGTTCCCACAAAATGAATTGTTTGTTTTACTGTATCAGTTTGACATGCTTGATGAAAACTGACATTATGCAGGTACAGAATATTTGCATTAAGCAGGATTCTCTAAAAGGTTTTTAACTCAAAATGTGGCTCTGGTGACTAGTGACTCCTTTCTTAGGTCTGGTCATATTTCTCTAGTTTAATAATGTTCCAGCTATTTTTATGTGGATACCTTTATCAGACATCTCAAATCAAATTACTAATGTGCTTGTCTCTTTCCCTTATGTTAAAATATTTACCATTTACATTTCTGCACATAAAATTAGATAACACTCCTGTCCCTTTGACAATTCATTCATTTCGAAGAAACAAACTACTCACGTGAATTCTTGGCGCGGCATACCACAAGTTTTATTTGACATGGTGATGTCTAACGCGAAAGAGACATTTTTGCCGAGTTTCAGATCGCTACACTCTTGCATTCCTTTCTGCGGTTCACCTTCCAAGCAGGTGGCTGTGTACTCAATATCAAAGAGATCAGCTTGGGCGTCATCTTCTACCTTCACACCAGATGTGATATTCTGACAGAAAATGAAACAAAAACAACCACCTGCATTTCATATACAGGTTTCAGACTTTCAACTTTACACAAATAACCCATTTTTGTCACAAACTACAAAGGATTTGATGCCAAAGTGCTATATCCCAACAATAACACTGACATACAAATCTGCAAATGACTGACAGCCCCAGTGGCATTCCAAACTGTGACCTCCTGATAACAGTGCACCAGTCACTACTCACAAGATAAACTCCTTTGACAAGTTCCACAACGTTGGAAGAATCTGCTGTCAGTTGCTCCACTTGGCTCTCATGAAAGAACTTAGGTAAATCCTGGTGAGAAGAGACAAATGCAAAAAGATCAATACAAACTATGGTGGTATCAACACTGAAATCACGTCTCATTCTTGCCTGTGAACTTTCAATTTGACTTGAAGGGTACCCTCGAAAGGTTACAAGTGAATCTGCTGACCTTGGCACTAGAAAGTAGATTACACATTGAAATCTAACCGCTCCAAATCTTTCCAGACACTCAGCAAAAAGGATAAGTAAACCAAAGAGGGAGACCGAAGAAATCTGTCAAAGATGTCACCCATGGTTAAAGCTAAACTAATGCTTACGCTGACTTGGTGGGCATGTTTGTGATGGGTAGAGACCTTAATGAATCTTGCCAAATGAAAGACTGAAGAAAAAAACACTGGAGATGTTCTCTGCACTTTAAAGGGACATCAAGTGCCCTGTTTAGTAGACATGGCTGGGATCTATCTTCCTATACCCTACAAAATCCTCCCAAATTTTGCAAAATGTTTGAAGATGTTGGAGGGTAAGGTCAAAGTGAGATATCATCAAATTCTTGATGCATGGGAAAAGCAAATGACCACAATTTTCCCAGCCAGATGGAAAATAATCAATTTCCACGTCGCAGGTTAAAGAAAAGAGCAAACTAAAATTACACTCCAGATAAAATTAACAGAAAACAAAAAACAAAATAAAATGAACAAGCAAAGATTAGAACGTACTGTGTAGAACACCATCGGGTCTGCTTCACCCGGCCGAACCTTGCCGATAGCAAATATCGGTAAGATGCTGTTTTCCTTCATCTTGCTACTGAGCTGGCTAATGGACGGATAATCCTGTAAGTCAAATAAAGATCAATAAAGACTGTCATTTAATCCGTTGCCTATGAACCGATGACTGACCCCGTTAAACGAAAAACTGAAGTATGCAGGACCTTAAGTGGGCTCTGAAAGGTCAGGAAATTTGATTGCGTGTTAATAGGATTGGCAAACTGCAAATACGGGCAAGTCACACTACAGTGTGCTGCGAGAGGTTACCACAAAAAGGCAATTTCTTGAAGTGCATTGGTAAACGAATGACAAATTCTATTCCGCAGCTGTCGATGAAGAACTTGAATTATTCCCGATGCTGCCTGGGAAGAAGTTTTCCAAGAGTTAAGAAGTTAAGCAGAGCAGGGAAATTGGGCCCTGGCCTAAGAGAGAATCCGAAATACATTGTACGTAGAGCAGCCACTTTTCAACTGTAGAACCTTATCTCTCATCTACATGTAGTTACTCTCTCCAAGTTCACGCACCTGTTCACTAGAGGCCGTGTACTCCATGGTGTTGGGATCCATGTGGCATTTCCCATCATTCAACTTCACAATGCCTGCAAGCTGTTAAACAAATAACCAAACAAAGGAGAACCACACAATTCATACATGTACTTGCAGCAATGTATAATTTGTTTAAATATCAGAAAGCAATGATAAGCCAGCCCGGAAAGGGAAAACAGCGTCACAAATTAAACTGAGAACAAAACAAAACTTGAATAAAAAACTTGTAATATCTCTAAACGACTCAATGTGAGGAAACATTACAAAAGAGGAACACCACCCCACAAAAGATTAGACATTACAAATGATTAACCCTAACCTAGGGTGGATGTAAAATCATATTAAAAACGGAGGATTTGGGACTGTTCGGGCTATCCTGAACTTTTTATGTGAAGTATCACAAAAGAATTGACGACATTGAATAAAAATATCAGGCTTTCACAAGATATGTTCGTAACAAGAGAGAACTTTCCAACACCTTGAATTAACTTCATGACTACAATGCCCCTTCTGGACCGACATAAAATAAACTGACATCTAAACTCTGCGACATGATCATTAAAGCATAAGGTCTTTGGCCAACTAACCTTGCCGTCCCCAGCAATGTGAAACGGTGCATCCGTAGAGTAGAGCAACATGTGTCTTGCTCTATCTCTCCAACCAATCTCTTCCTGCAAACAGGGGTAAGATTAGAAGAAAATGGATTATCCACGAAATATATCACTTGAGGTTTTGAGGGCGTACAGGTCCCATGGTATATATTTGTGCTTACCTATAGGTATCGTAGCCCTTGAATACCCAATACTCAACTTCATCTCCGACTGGGGCTTCATTCCCAAAACCAATCCCCGATTGTGTGCCTGAAGCATTTAAATTACTTTGGATTACTGTAATTTAGGGCTTTCTTGCATCTTATTTAATGTTTTGTGGCACTATTAGACTGATTACTGAGCTTACAGCTTCAGAGTCAGCTAGTAAAAAACGGTTGAAGCCTGAGACGGAGCCGAAGTTGAGTATTGGAAAACAGCCTATGCAGCTGAAAACCTTCAGTGTATAACTTTGAGACTTGTCTGGTGACCAAACTTCACCATACCGTGCATACAGTAGCTTGCATCAAGGCATCCAATCCACCCTCTGGATGATCCAGGTTTCCCGAAGCATCAACATTTCCAATTTCTTCCTAAAAAGTGCAAACACGAAAACGATTACTAGAAACTTTTACGATATTCAAAGGTACAAATGGATTTAATTTGCATTTTTTTTTTTCAATATAATTTTTTTTGGGGGGGGGCTACTTACTGCAAATCGACTCGTCACTGATGTAAGTGGAAGCACATTCCTAAATCCAAAAGGAGGATCACAAGTTGCACCATCCAAACAAGGATTCTGTAATCTGAAATATCCAAAGTGACATTCTACCAATGAACACTTGTCAAGTTCCACAACAGTTAGAAAATTATTTCTAATAGACTTGCCTGTTTACATACCTTATACAAAAGTTTTCTAATGGAACAAAACAAAACAAAAAACTGATAAACACTAATTTTGTTTTATTACAAATAATAAAACCAGTCCTTACTTTTTTTCCAATATGTCCACAAACGGCATTTTAACCTTGTCCACAAAAGCACCGTATCCCAGCCGAAAATCTTTGGTTATATTTCCCATTACCTTGGCTGAAAGAAGAAATGGTCTCACATTAGAATAAACCAGAACAATTTAAATTTCACGCTCGTTATTCCCTAAGAGATGAACACACCAAAAAAAGCTGGGCAATAGAAATAGCGTATGCCACCACCTCCAGTGATGATGAGGAGGAGGATGATGAGTATAGCAGATGAACGGCCAGGGGGGGGGGATGAGCGGCTGACTTTGTATATTTAACTTGAAAATAATCCGTTAAACGCTCCACTATTGGTGCATGTCTCTGATCACACTGCCAGACATCTCAAGGTCTGCAATTGTTTACAGTTGGCTGGCTATATTTTTGGCAAGGAGAATGCAGTTTCAGTGTTTGTTTATAGATATTCCTTGTTCTCGGGTATTTTATGATTGCACCATATCCTGTGTTATGTCTTGCTTGTGCTGACACAGCCAGTTCCTCATGTGGGGACAGATCCCAGGGGGCCAACAGGGGATATGTACCCTCCCCCCATAAAAAAGAGCCTACAAACTTTCTTTTCAAAAAATGATGGGTGATTTGGGGGTCTTTTTCATTTCATGAAAAAGTCCAAAATGTGACCTCATGTCTCAGAAAGGCAGTGAAAGGTTACCTAAATAAAAAGTCAATTTCCCCCCCCCCAAAAAAGGTTCTGGATCCATCCCTATTTCCTCAACAACTCTATTAAATCCAACTCCCAGAATGTCTCTGCTGAAGCCTTTCCTGAATTCTCCATTAATCCCTGAGCCATCAACTCCCATGTAAAATTTTATCGAGCCTACAAAATCCTCCAAAACTTCTTGGTGAATTGTTAAGGATCTGGAAGGTTAAGTAGCTAAAAGTTTCCTACTTTCCAATTTTTTTCCTCAGAATTCCTTAGGCTCAATCTTCCCTGACTTGTTCTCTTCAATAAAAAAGTAATGTGCATATCTTCATGTACATTCACATCTAACTACCCAAGTGCACTGGAAAATTTCTTCTATTTAAGGAATTTGTTTTTTCCCCGTTTACTCACCAAGTTTATCGCCAAGTCCTTTTAAACTCTCCAAGTCATCAGCCATAGACTGTGACAAGTCCATCACGTAATATAAATCCACAGGAAAGTCTTCCGCTTGCCGGATGTTCAGTTGAACCCTTGTTGGTTCACCTGTACCAATTAAGTTAAAACATTAGCATTAAGCATCTGATTAATTTAAGTAGCATTTAAGGAGCAAGTCCAAACCTCAAACCACAAACTAAACCAAAGAAAAATACAACTACATTGATCTGACCTCAACCACACAGGTCGGTCGGGCCCTATATGTATGTGAGGATATATGCTGATATATATCAAAAATAAACACACTGATTGACTTATTTTCATCCTACAGCATGTTGCACACATGTACCGTGACTAGTTTTATATCCTCCAAATCATTTCCCCTATACTAAACTAAACAAAAGGGAGGATATGTAACCACGAGGGACATTTCCAGGATAATCAACTGCAGAGTAAAAAAGAAAGTTTTATTATCAAGATTCTCAGTCAGACTGCATTCCCCCATAATGCATTCTGGCTTTTCGGTCCATAACACATCAAACGAACACAATGAGCTTCCTGTTTTCAATGGTGACCCCCCCCCAATAAAAGCTGTCTTTCAAATTTCACAGTTTACACACAAATTTCCTGTGAGACTTAGATGGAAGCACAGCAAACTAAAAGAACTTCATGTAGCTTGGAATATGAAAATGCCCACTGGCTCGATCTATTGTCTGGACTCTTGTAACCTTCAATCAATGCAGGTCAACAACAACAAGAGAACCAGACTATTCAACATATCGTATTGTCAATGACTATTTCACTCACACTACTACTGTCTCCAACTTTTCCACACATTCTATTATCCTTACTTACTGCATCTCCAGTAATGGCCATCCTATGCTCTTTTTTTTTCAAACCCTGTTAGCATATATTTTGTCAGCACTTTCTCATACTAGTTTTAGTGGTGTGTGTGACAGGTGATGACACAGACATAATTCTGTTCTTGGGAAGGCTGTGGTTTATTTCTGGGACATACTATGGGGTTCAGCCAATGATCCAGATAACCTCTGGGACCTCATGTAGTTTGCAGCAGTGAACAGGAATGTGCAAATCAAAGCATCCAACACAGACACATCAATTGTCCCCATGCAATTTTTTTTTCTTTCTCAACATGAACTCCCTGGGTAGCCATCAGTTTCCTTCGACTTATGGCTTGGGCCATGTTTTAAATAATGCAAGTCCAATGTAAATCCTTGTCTAAAATATTTTTAGTATCAGTTTCCACCTGCTCACATGTGGGAAAATTTGCTTCACAGATTAACAGAAATGTATTTATGATGACAGACACAAAACTCCTGGTGCTGGTCAATGAAAATAATTGTCAGTTATAACAGAATCCCTTTTAATGTTTAAGAGTTTTTCATGGCTGAAAAATACATGTATTACCAAAGCACAGCATGCAAAAAGGCACTGATTATCTGGAGTGATCAGCGTATGCAGTCAAGTTCTCTCCAACACAGGGAGATTTATTTTTTGGGGGGAAGAGGTTGGAGACCCATATGAACAACAGCAAAATCTTTTGCTAGTGGAAAATTTCTCGTGGAAAGCAGACTCATCATTTCATGGAAGGTAAACAACTGCTCCAATCTCGGGCTGATGAATATGTTCACTTCACCTGGTCTCATTTCCAAGATTATCTTCTGCGGGTTGACTTGAACAATTTCTCCGGTGTCACCTGCATCACTGAGAGGTTTGGCCTGTGGGCAGAACCAACAGAAAAGCAGAAAGTGTACTCTTCATCGGCCTGCACAATGTAAACTTTGTCTGAATTGAGACTAATGTCATCAAACAAAAGTCCCAATCAGGAATTCAAATGTCAATGAATTTCATTGAGTTTAACACTGACTTTTCAATTTTTACTGTTCAATGTTGACTGTGTGTCTTTCAAATGCTGGAAAGATCTAGGCCTAGATCTTTCCAGCATTTGAAAGATAATTTATTACTCCCCCCCCAAAAAAAAGAGGATCAATGAAACCTGGCAGTTTTGGGGGGAAGAGGGTCTTTTTTGAACTTTAATACTGAAATCTTGAAGTCTACCACGTGTCACATACAGTCAATTACACGTACATTAGCGTTAATTCCCTGGGCTGATGCGTGAGTTCATGTAGCAGAACTTAACCAGCGCATGAATGTTACTGAAAAACTGAAGGAGGGCTTTGGTTGCAGGGGTTGAACAAGACGAAGTCTTCAAGAGGAGAATCCAAGAAAAGTCTGCACAGTAAAGCACCTTCTAATCTGGCACAAACTACGGGCACGATTTGGATTTTTGCAGACAGGTCGTTATTGTTCTCCATTAAATTCTCTGACCTGGGTTCAAGCTTCCCTCAGGTTCACATGTGGGTTGCATTTTACAGACTAACTAGGCTTTTTTTGTGGTTTTATCTTGACTTGAAATGTTTGGTCTAGCTCCCTTCTGAGAATTGTTTACTAGTCCAGAAGAGAGCAGTCCTACTGACAACTACCAAGAGATACCGGGAGTCAATATCTCACCTCTACTATTGTGAGTTTATTCTTGGGAGAATTAAGGCCTTCTTTGCAGCCTCTTCGCCGAAGGTTCTCAACAAGATCACACCTTGAATAAGATTCATCATCAAATTCCTACAAAGAGAAAAAAAAAATTCAGACCGACCTTCAGAAACATTTTTCTCCACAAGAATTTCACAAACTATTTTTCAGCTGGTTGTGAAATTCCTACTTCAAGTTGATTTTTAGTTGAAAACGAGAATTCAATACTTCCACGAGTCTATCTATAACCATCTTGCAGTGAATGTGATTTTCACATCAAGGATACCAATCACATTAAAGATGACACTGTTGATGTAATCAAACCATCCACAAAAAAATAAAACATGACCTCACAGACTGGCTCGTGATCAACAGTTCTACAGGTTGAAAGCTTGGAACTGTGAATGTGCCATGTTGCTTGGTCATAAACCCTAATCATGCAGGGACTTGATCATGGACTAAGGTAGCTTGGGATCAAAGGTCAAGAACAGTGCTGCTGTCATGAAGCCAGCTGCACTATCCGCTTGTGGTTTTTCTATCTGCTCCAATGATTCACACAACTCTGACATAAATGGGGTCAAGTAATCCGTGATTTTTATCACAGTCCTCTCATATTATTTATTGCTATATTTAAACAAAGTCGACATTAATTCAAAAATGCCCTGGAAATTAAAATACTAACAGACCATCAGGAGTGTTGGAATACACATCAGAACACCAGGAAATATGCACAGAAAGATCAACGTGAGGAAAAACAGGACAAAATACACAAAGCTCCAATACATCTTCTTTCTGTACTAAAATTGAAAGCGGAATCGTCAGAACCTCCTCCTGCTTTTCAAATACAGCACAAGTTTGGTTTTGATTCATTTGATTGACACCAAGGCACATGTACACTTGTGCAATTGTGATATGTACATGTAGTGTGCATGATTTGTAATCCTGTTTATCTCAGTGTAATCATTTCAGTTTATCTAATCAATCACCTTGGAAACATAGCAACTGACCCTATGATCACATTTCCAACCCCCAAATTCTTTGGAATTTTTCTCCATGATACATGTGTGAAGGCATGCTTGCCAGCAGAAACGCTGAGAGGCAAAAATTCTCTTGCCGCTTCTGATTTCAGCTTGACTCTTCGCTACAAAACTAAAAAAAAAGAGATTTTTATTTCATAAGAAGATGGTAACACTGGAAATCTTACCGTGGACTCACACCATCCGCATTGTGGGCTTTTAACGATACATTCATCACAGCTCTTGGCAGTTGTGCACATACTGTCTGTAATAGCAGCTAGAAAAAAAGGAAAAAAAAAAGGAACCTGAAATATATTTATACGATGGATAATCCTCAATAGATGCCGTCTTTGTAGGAACATTGCAACTGCTTATACAACACCAACAGGTGCGTGTGCACATGCTGTGCAGAATGTTCTAAATTTGCGTGCGTACTGATGCAGTTAGGTTCTAAATACGGCACAGCCCGTGCTCGTCACAAAAATTGAAGTTAAAAAATGCCGATGCACGTGGCAATCCGTGGGAAGTGACTTCTTTTCAGAGAGGCCTATACAGGCATTTCTTCACTGTGAATGTGACAAATAATACTATTTTCTTATCACAATCTATCAAAGATGTGGTTTGGAATATCTCATGTATAAATGACATACATGTAACGTATACACACAATGCATGCATACATAAATAACAATTTCATGTAGATGTAGTAACAATGTCATATACTGGTACGAACCGGTAGATGAATGACGAGATTTTGAGATACTGATGAATAAATGGAAGCCAAAAAAAAAACAACCATTTTGTGAGATTTTGTTGATTTTGGCAGTAGAAGATGTGGATTCTGCTGATTTCACCAGTTCCCCTATTGTTGCCTAATCAGGCAAAGATCAGAAAGGTGCCGAGACAACCTTTGAACTTTATTAACGGAAATGACAGCTCCAGAGGATGTTTGGACACTGTAAAAAACATTTGAATTTCAACCACAGGTATGTACATCTATTTCTGATACCAAAAAAGGTGTAAGAATGGGAGGTATATTCTACATGTGACTCAGAGCAGCACATATCATCAAGCATTCAGGCATTTAATACCAACTTTCCAGATTAAACTTGCATATTCTTTGAAAGAGAGAGAGAGAAAAAAAAGAGATGTCTGATTGTTTATAGTGACATTTTATTTTCAGTGGCTTTGTGCATTGCATATACAATCTGTGGGCAAGCGATTTTCATAACTCTGTCATTCAGTTCTCTGAAATGAAATCAAAGGTTGATAAACCACAACCAAAGGGCAATAAGCCCTACATCATGTTTCATTCACTGAATGAAGAAAGACTTCTACCAACTTGACTGTGGATGACCTCGTGGTATGGGGTGTAGAACAAAACCCACTATATTATGTACATGTGGGAGTGTCAGTCCATGCCCTGTCTCTGTTGCAAATAATGACCGGCCGACCGGTATCAATGCCATGAAAAGCCAGTTTTTGCTGTCGTGGAGAATTCATTGAAAGTACAAGTACTTACAACCACGGAAATACTTCTGACCTAACTGCTCTTTTACTAAACGTGGCCATGTTAGAACAGACATTGGCAGGTGTTTTTTATACACTGTACATTTACATTTTCTGCATATCTTATCTCAATACCTGTACCTGTACATTTGTGATTCAAATATCAATACGGAACACAACATTTACCATTCACAACATTGCCTTATCACCTCAAGGTTCAATCGGTGCATTTTTTATTCCAAATATAGCAAGACTCCATCTCATTGGTGAGTTTTACATGAGGAACGGAGCTTCTCAGCCCCTGGAAATAATTTGTGGACTATCCACGAAAATCCAATTATCACCGAATTTACAGAATTATAGTCTGATAATCTGATCAAGTGAAGGCTGTGACACCTGGGATCCGTGTATGTTCTCGCACAAAGACACGTGCAAGCTTGGAGGTACACCAGTACAAATCTACTGATTGGAATTTTGTCAACGATTTGTCCCACGCTGCTCCCAATTCTGCCAAAATCTGCCAAAAGCTTTTGTACATGGAGGATTTCCATAGGTAAGATTTGAAGCTTTGCAAGATGGAAGTTACATTACATAAGATGTAGGGCTTGCAGGTACACCATGGTATCAATCTCTTTTTGGAAGAGGTGTGGTTCTTAGAAGAACCGGTAAGTGTTAACTTGACGTATCAGCCAGGGTGCTCTGGTCGTCCTCAGGAAATGAACTAAAAGATTATCAACCCAATTCCAAAGACTAAGAAGTTCTTCTAATTCAGTTTACATTTAAGGCATGAAATATAATCAACTGTGAATCTGACGTGTTTCTCTAATGTTGTCAATTTCTGACCTTCAAGTTCTGATCTTTTCCTATACACATGAATAACACAAAGCACATACATGTATGTACTGTTAGTCTGTTACTGCAATGGAAGAATACCTTTCATTGTGCAAGTCAGCTGCTTTGCTGAGGTATTTTTGTCTTTTCTTTGTAATACTGGCTTTCAGCATGCACTGCCCATGGTATGCTACAAACTGCACCTTTTCAAATCAGCTAATAGATGACAATGACACCGTACCTGAGTTAGAAATAAAATCTCTACCGATCACATCTACCTGCACCTGTATTCCTGTACTCCATTCTAACCCTGAAAACCAATTTTGTATGCAAAGTAGCTTTGCGCATAAACCAATCTCTTCATTTCCTATAATTTAATTCCTAAAGTGCTTATTTCATTTTATGAGATGCTCCATACTCTATCTCAAGGGTCAATCCCATTAAGCCTTGTGTTCCATTCAGACATACGCATACATCCAACTGGCTGCTGTCACCTTATAAGGTAAGCCAATCACCAGTGTACATAGCTGGGTATCCTCGACGACCGTATGCTACATCTGCACAACCTATTCTCCTTGTGGTCAGTACACACTCAGCTCTGTGCACGGTTTCCTCCTGCAGTGCACTTCCTTACTCAACAAAACCATCTCAAGGATGGTTTCGCTGGTTCCATGAGGACGAGGAGTCATCATCCAACCGTGCTCAGTGCACTGCTGAGGCTGGCTACGACCCAGGTCAATCAGACGGGCATGCCCGCACTGTGAATCACGGCAGGCATAATGCATTACTAATGCTCCTTACTCCGAAATGAACCAGCGTTTTGCATCGACATCTTCATTAATCACAAGCCGAGGTCTAATGCTTAATGCAGTGGCCTCAACATTTTGTGGGGAGGAAGATTAATGGAATCTCCATGGAAGGAATGTTAGATGACAACATTCGGATGCTTAGCAAAAACGTCACCATCCTTTTTTTTTTTTTTCAAGAAGTATTTTTAGCCTGCCACATCTTTTATTTCTCAGATTTAGCCTCTCAAAAACAATACCAGTACTTCTTGCATAATCGTTGGCATCTCACAGTAGAACACTTGATGTGTTAATCACCACTCCATGGTGTAGATGAAACTATGCAAAGTACATCTTGTATTAACCTCAAAAACAAACAGGAAGTCATCTCTGGTAGTGTGGGTGACAAGGCCATATAGGGCACACCTGTGTGTTTATTCAGGTACAGACTAGAGGATTAGTCACATGACCTTTAACTGAAACTGTATCATCGGGTAGATCTAAGTGAAATTATCAGGATGGACCTGTTTTACTCTTTATTTTTTCACAATGCCCACAGCCTTCAAGTTCATGTATGCACCAATATCATTTTTCATGACTGAAAAGACACAGTTATTCACTCTGGGGCAGTAATGTGTGACTAAGCTGACTGAAGGTTTGTAAACTTTGTATAATTCACAATGCACATGTAGCACAATTCCTAGACTCCTTGGTCAATGTACCTACACAATGCTGCCGTTTCATTTATAAATGTGCATGCTGACAATGTAATGTACCTTTGCTCTGTGGTAACACTGCAAGCGATTTAATTTAGTCTACTCTGGAAAAGAACCAAATATATTTTGCTACGCCAAATGTTCTGGAGTCATAAATTTACTGCAACTAGAAACCGAATCCTGTTCATATCATACACACTGTAACTTGATGCCCAGGCTTTCTCTTTTCATGATAATTAATTGGAGTTGGAGAAATTGAAAACCAGAACATGAATATTCATGGCATCCCTGTGCCACACTAAGCAAATGTAAACAATTACAAAATATGACCCTTTATATAATGTGCTAAAGGCCAATAACGTCAATGCAAAGCTGAACATGTATGTTACAGGTGCATGCGTAACTCTTATTAATTTTTAAACAAATTCCAAAGTACATGTACATGTAAATATTAAGTGTAATATATTGACATCCATGTGTAACAAATGCTTCAAACTGTAATTTCAAATTATAATTGTTCTTTGCTTTAGTCAATTACTCCAAGACACACATATCTTCAAGAATAACTAGCAGACATTCCAAATCGATCAGGATATATCCAATTTTTTTTCAATGCACATGTACAGAATATGTTGAGAAGGGCAGAGCACAGAGAAAGGATACTGCTTTGAGTTACATGTAGGCTTTTAATTTGACCATCATTACATTTGACTTATTTGAACATTCTCTACACCTAACGGCTCACCAAACTTCCTGTTTGCGATAACTTAACAATGGATTCCCCACTGATTGAGTGCTGAGGTCATGATGAGGTCACACAAACATGCACAAAGTGTGTGACCCCAGCGTGACCTTGTGGAGGTTTCAAATTCAATGGGCAAAGAACAAGCTTGATCACAGAAATCCTTTCCCTTCTCCTATCCAAATGAAAAGTTGGGGTGACAGGTCACACATGTAAACGGTGTTTTAACCAGTCCCCTGTTCACCTTGCATTGCAAATCCACCTAATGTGAAAGGCCAGGCAAGAGGATGATTGAATGCCCTTGGAACATTGCTGCTTACCATGTTTGGATTTTCAAGGCTGCCAAGTTACAAAATGTATGCAAGGCCACACAGTGTACAAACCCTATGTAAATTCATTACACTATTGAACAATCTTTATTGGTACAGCGATCTACCATGTTCTGAACATAATGTACTGTACATGTACATGCACCTGTCTTCAAACTGGACATAAACTTGGACACATAGAAAAAGATGATGAAATTGAATGAAGAAGAATTCGATGAAACTCGGACAATTTTCTCTTACAATGTCTTGTAACTCATGTTGACAAGGATAATGTTACTTAAACAATACCTACTTTTGGGAAATGCAAATTGGTTAATTACATGTGACACACGAAGTTTACACAATGTAGAGTCAATTTTCCTCCGAAATGAGAGGAACAGGAAAGACAAATTTCAGACGCAGCGTTCAAATATTCAGAATCTGAAAACAATCATCGATGTGGATTTATGAGTCATCATGGACAGCCTTTGAATTCTACAAAGCATAGTCAGCATACAAAGTGTGCACACGTGCGTACATACATGTACAGTGTAGTAAAAGGCATGCAGGCAAAAGCATGGGAGTGGATGTGCATGCGTGTACATTTATGCTGACAGGTACCGTACATATGGGTCATTTGTATACTTACACTTCATATTTTGTTGACCATTTGGATAAAGAAAACATGTACATGTATAGCATTTCAGCATTCTTCCTTACGGGCAAACCCATTGATTATCAAAACTAGAATGGATAGGTTCAAGGAAGGTCCCCAAGTGGGGGGCCAACCACATCATGCAGACTTGAAGGGACTACTACTCTTGGGTTACCGAGAACACCGCTGTTGAATTTCACAGTTCAAGAGCCACAGTTCTGGATCAGACCATCTGGTATCAGTTTCATGAGCAGGTTAAAGTGAAACTGTCAAATTGTTGTCCCATAAATACATGTACACTGAGCAGGTTTGCTTGTCAACACAACAAAGAAATCAAGAAAGAAGAAGGAAAAAAGCATTTGAAAGACAACGCCTACTTCTGTTTGGTTTTGCTTTGTTTTACATGTATATACCCATTGCTTCCTTTTGGACTCAGTGTACTTTCAAAGCGAGAGATCCATGTAACATACCGTAAGTGGAATCATCTCTAGGGATCTGACAGGACTTCCTATGGATTGAAGCCAATTCATGACATAATTATCTGTTCAGTGAAGACGATATTTCCTTCACAGCAAAACACATTACCACCATACCAGACGAAGTGGTATTTATTGGTTGTCAATTGTCAGTACTTGAGACCATTTTTTAGGCCTTTTTGTCCAACACATACAGTACCGGTAAATATGCTTCTGATGCATGTAGCTCTATAAGAGTAGACACCCCGTCATCACATCTTACTGTCCACATCGGTGGACTGTCACAAAAGGATTTGGTGTCATCATGAGATCAACTCATGTCAGTTTGCTTCTATTGCAGAATCACAGAACCTTGACTTCAAACACAGCGGAATTTTCTCATGCGATACATTTTAATCAGCCCCACATGTATGGCATAATACTGAATGACAGGTTCACGAGTGGCATCAAGTCCTGTATAAGGCTGTGTCCAAATTACCTGGCTGTGGCTCAAAATTATGTGTAAGTTTATGGTAGTGGCTGCAGCCAGTTCCCATAGGGTTGTGTGTATTTTCAAGCCATAGCAAAGTGATTCAGACACGGCCTTAGAGATTTAACAACCAAATGGCCATAGCTGGTTCAAGGGAAATTTAGTCACCAGCTCACTGAGAAATTCTAATTTTTTTTTTTCACAGTTCGGATCATGGAAGGAAAGGTACATGTAACATCTGATGTTCCACTGTGTCTGGAAAGTGGATGGTTTTAACGAACTACACTTTTGAACTTGGCTTCAGCGCTGGATGCAGGATACACTTTCCAATAGGAAGTAAGACGTTACGATACATGGTTGGAACTAAGTTGAGAATTCTGACCAATGGAAAGTTATTTTGAAAGCAAAACTAAACCCGTGTGGCACGAGCTCCCAAGGGAGTCCAAGTTCCATTTTCTTTATGTTCACGGGGAATCCGCCATGAATTGAAGAGCACCCCCAAGCAGCAAAAGAAAGACAGATGGTTGTAAGTTTTCCAAGCGGGTTCTTGCAGGCATTCTGCGTGTACGCAAAGACCGTACATTAAGGAATAAAATTTGACTCTGCTTTCAGTTTATTTGGGGACACGTCGCCCTCATCACTTTCTGATGGCTGATATAGGCCAACTACTTTGGGAAAAATTAGTGATGTCCGTTTGTGAAACTCTTCCCTAAGTTCCCTTATCCTAATATAAAGTATTAATCTAGCATAAAAATGGGGGGGGGGGAATCACATTCAACTCAACTTAGAGGGCATCCTTAAGTTTAAATATTTTGACATGGAGGCACAGGGCTGTTTTTTCTGCCCTTATTTAATCGGGAAAAGTCCAAATTGTGACACTAATCATTTTGTGGACAATTTACGCAGACAGGCCCTGATTTGCTACACTCTATCAGCCTAAAAGTGGTAATTCCAAGTCCACATCATAACTGGTAAACCAACTATTGCCGTGCACAAAATAATGGTGTACTTTTTTACCTGGTGGAAGTGGGTCTTGCGCCCAACATGTTGCTAGACACCAGATCACACACACAATGCACCCGCGTCCGATCTCCATCCTCAATTTCAAATTCAAAAAGTCTTTAGTACTGATCCGTATCTTTCCTTGGGATGTCGACTACCCGATCATGAGTTCGATCCGTTGTCTAACCACCAGTAAGTCCGGGAAAACTCCACTGGGTAGCCAGTCGATTTTTGACAATTCTGATCGCTGTACTCGCCAAGCCCCTGTCTGAAAATTGAATCCACGCGATTTATTTTCGTATAGCGTGTGACAGCTCGTGATCCCACTGTTCCAGAAATGCACGCGTCCGTGTAAACGTGTATGCTCCCGCATTCTTGGGCGCCTAGACATCAAACGCGGGGGTGGATTTCAAAATGCGTTTATTTTCTATTATACCAGGTGGAAAAGGATCGATCGCGCTCCCTCTGACCCAGGATTTACTTCCGGTCCAATGCCCTTGAGTTTTTTATTAGATTTTTCATAATAATAATTGAGGTGTTTCCTTGCCAGGTGGAAGATGGTGATGGAGGATGATTCCAAGAGAAAAAAAGGAATGCATGATGATTCTAAGAAACTGATGTCGTACGTGCCTTTGGAATGATACGTATGGGCGCGCATCAAGGGGGGGGGGTACCGGGTGCGTAATCAAGCGATGATGAGATTCGGCTGACACAATTATAACTTGATAAGGTTCATTACGGAATGAGCTAATGATGGTAAAAATTATCCCGTCTTTTGTATTGTGGTTCATAACAAAACAACAAACAACGGCAGCAGCAACAAACACCTTTAAGTTTGTTGCACTATTGTCTGGTCCTAGTCCTAACTTGGTGACCAGCGGCGCAAGGTGGAGAACTTCACTGCGAATACATGTAAAACCATAGATCTATGCGTAAAACGTTGTAATCGCCGCTAGGCGCCATTTGAGCGAGCATTACCGTAAACCACGCAGGCGTATCACTTGCTTAAATGGCGCTTATGGTAATTACACTGGGAAGAGTTATTCATCTTGCGCCTTCGGCGCTATACGATCTTTGGTGACTAGTGATATGACATTCCTGACTACAATATTCAGAGGATATTAAGAAAATAAACTTCTGTCGTTGCGTGTACATTATTCTCAAGTTGTACAGATCAATCCAAAGGATCCCAAATTAAAACAGCGCCCTCAGATGTGCGAGCTTCTTTGGCGTCATTCCTTGTCGGCAGATTCACTGGCCGCCATTTTTTCCTCCGACTTATGTCAAATAAGATATTTAATATAAACACCATTCCGGTCATTTTGGACTTCATAAATAAGAGAATATGTATGAGGATATGAAAGGTATTCGAAGAAATAGTAAAAGAGACTGGAACTCGTGAAATGTTCTACCTTAACCCTAAAAGAGCCGGGTCATTTTTGGCCCATCTCTCAGCCGGGAGAGGGGGCGCGGATCCACCCCCAAGAACTGGGCTGTGCCACGGTCGATTTTTTTTTACTTGACATGCATGTATAGACACTCATTACGAATGTGAAGTTTGTGTAAATGTGTAACTGAATCAGTCATTTGAAATTCATGGCTACATGCGTGCTAGTGTATGGATACACGCGTGCATCTATAGCACAGCATACGTTTGGCTGACCCGTCTCGGGAAATGCGCATTGCACGAGAACTGTAGGTCGATTTTTGCAGAAAAAAAGGTGTCAAAATTACCTCAAAGAGTTATTATAAATAATTGGATATTGGAGAGTTGAGTGTGGGGGGCCGTCCCGGCTCTTTTTAGGGTTAAAATACCCTTGTCCACACTTCAAGATGTCTGCACAAAATTTGAATAAATAGTACTCACATCATGAAGGTTTTCCAAACATGTTCAAGTGACCTCAAGCAGCCAAAACAAGTTAGTAGGCGGCAAGTTCACGCTTGACTAGGGATACAAACGAATTGCCGGGACACCTTCTACTCGATACATCATCAATTATTTGTAACACAATAATGGTACTCATAGCACACCATCTGATGAAAATGATCATCCCGTAATTAATCTCTACATCATCACTATAGAAACCATTATTATAAATAGTGCGATGGAAAACCAGATGGCAAGCGACCTGGAAACAAAAATCAGGTCCAGGATTACTCGATCTTATGATAAAGGAGGAGGTTTGTGGTACTTAGCCCTCGTTCTTGAAAAGGTACGCTTGGCTTTTCCAGACTATTTTTGTATTTGCCCCCCCCTTATTGGTACTTCTTTTATTCAACGAGCAGCGATGGGTGATTAATGTATCCACTGTGAACTGAGTCGTAAACATGGCGTCCTTTCTAACTACGCGGGGAAAGAAATCGTGGTTTATAATTATTTACGACCGATAAATTTAGTATCACTGACATGTTCAAAACAATGATATGCTGGTACCATCGAAAACGAGTGACAAATGAGAAACAAACCAAGAATCTCCGGGTAAACAATCGACGTTGCTCGTCTCGTGTCTTTGCACGTTTCTCGAATGCTCAAACTTTTCAGTCTGCAATATTATGCAGGCGGGCGTTTCTGACTTTAACTTGTATTGACTCCATGACTCCATGATAATTGGCATGAATGACAAAAATAAATTTGACGAAAGCAAAGACGTATATTGCGCGCATTCATGTCATATGATCGCCGAATGAGTTGATCATTTTTTCTATTATATTCACCCCCATGCAATCCTTACGTTGTCATCGACTCGACATGAGGGCGCTTTTCCACCTTATGGTGTTTCAGGTTTGTGTGTGCGACCTTATTCTCAGAAATCATCCACCCTTTCTGCACGCAGTCTTCATGGAATACCGTTTTCCTGTTACTAGAATTCGGATTCCCCTTTTCTTTGTTGTTTTTCATTTTCTTGAGGATGACCAGATCATTCTAGTCGAAACGTCGAGTTCTAACCAGTTTACCAGTTCTTCTCAGAACCACTCCACTTCTAGAAGAGATCGATTTCACATTTACCCGCAAACTTTCTGAGTGGGTTTGTTTTGTCAGTATTTGTTTGCCTTTTTTCCCCGAAACGCAACATACACCACTGCATTTGTCTTACCAAATCGGCTCGGTGGTCGTTTATAAAATCCTTTTCTTTGTTTATTTTCCACACTGGAGGAGACGGCGATTAGTATGTTTAAATATAAGCAGACGACACATAATTATTTTGCAAAGTGTCATAGCGCCCTCATTTGTTCAACTGTTGCGAATGTTGTCATTTAATTTTTTGACGTGACCCACATGCGTTTTTGACATCAACTCAAGCAACCCCGCCGAGTCGCCGTAAACGTTGAGAAATACTAGCAGGAAAATGCCGGAATCCGTCCGTTTCTGAACAAGGGGCACGTTTGTCATCCAAGCATTTCGGTTCCATGTGAATTTGTCGTCGAGGCTCTGGTGGATTCTTTGAGAATTTTTTGACCATTTTGGTGAAAAATTCATGCAGAAAGCGCTACTGATCGTGAGATTTCTGTTGGTGAGTTTATTTACGTACGGTGGATGCGTGGATGGGTTAGGTGTGCTACTACACGCACTTTGACATGTGGCGCGCAGTGTTCAGAGATGTGTCACTTAATTTAGTCATTACTTAGAGCCCTATATTATGGCGAAACAGCCTCTTGTCGATTGGAATTTCTAAAACTTGATCAAAATGTTCTGTAGGGAAAGAGTTCCATACACGGACAGTCACTAACATGACTAAATCTTCCCTTAAATTAAAATGTTATCATAGCCATCAGAGAGTGATAACGTGTCCTAAAAAGTGAAATTTAGCTGAGAAAATCCCGAAGCATTTACTTGGAAAATGCTTATTTTTTTCAGAGAAGTCTCATAGGTTTGTGCACACGGCATCAACTGTTGTCTGTATACATGTACATGGTCGATATTATGGAACTCTTTCCATTCTGTAGCGTTTGTTTATAATTTAAGGACATCTTGTCAAGTAGACATAATTTAGAATAAAGTGTATGTGTATTATAGCGCTGCATTTAAGAGGACTGTATTTGAACTTAAGCTGGAATGTAAGCCTGAAAACATTGAATAAACGTTGAATGTTGTTCGCTTGTGATTTTGTTGTCCTTAAACTGCTGGAACATTACTGCATTGCTAAATAAGAAATTAAATTGACATTTCCATCAACTTGACTGCTTTGTTTTATCTTGGCATGATTAATGGTGGAGATAATGGTGGTTTATTTTGCAACACTGTGTTTCTGATCAGTTTGGTGTGTCCATAAGTCACGATCTGGTATTGCCTTCACTGTGAGCATTTGTTAGTTTGTTTTAAATTTTCTTTTGAGGTTTACATGCAATTTGTACTGATCAAGCGTTTATAAATATATTCCTATTTTTTCTGAAGTAACATCTAAATAAGAAGGCTCTTCCATGAAAAAATGCTAACACGGATGTCCAACTGGTAACATTTAGACATCTGTAAACTTTCAAACCCGTTTGTCCTTGAAAATACATGTACATGTATGTATTTTGCTTGGAAATGTTCCTAACATGTTAAACGTGTCAATGTACATACAAATATACATGTACATGTCTGTGTGTAATGTAATACATACGTACATGTGCATTCATGTATCACAGCAACACATTTAAATGTTCCACCATAGATAGAATGCGTGCATGATTGAGATGGCAGTACGATTCACGGAAACACAGAAATGGGTTTTCCCCTGAGGGTTCACCATCAACCAATCCCATTGTTCCTATTCATGGTCATGTTTACATAACTCATTCATCCTTTTGAGGAACAGAAGCACACAAGGCGGAAGTCACTGACAGGCATAGGATGGAATATTTGTGCGACTGTTTCCTGTCCTGTAAATGTTGGTTCTTGAAGAATTAAAGAGGATTATGGCTGCTGGGAGAGGGGGGGGAGACAGTGGTGGAAGTTGGCTTCCTGAAAGACTGAAGTGACAGATGCTGTATTGTTTATTGGAAATTAAGAAACAGGGGGCAGAAGGATTTTCAAAGTGGTTGGGAGGGGAAGAGCTGTGGGACCATCAGGCAGCAGCCAGGGATAGCCTGACCCATGAAGCCCATACATGTACCTGTAGGCCCTGCAAAAAGTGGGGAAGGGCCTCCCAGTTGAAAAAGTGAGGGGAGAGTACTGGTGCCCCTGTCCCTTTCTGCCCCCTACCCTTCCCACGTCTACTGCCCATGAATTTAAGCCTTGCTTTTCATCTGCTGATCAATGTAGACAAATGATGGAGGAATAAAACATACTGAGTTACAGTGAGCCTAAGATCAAATGTTCAGGGTCTGGTACCATGGACAAATGCAGGGAATCGCCATTCCTGTGGGACTCGCATATGAGTTTTAAGTTGAGCCCTTGCATGCATTTTGAGAAATCACAACAGTGACAACACCTTATAGACCTTTTTCCTGTGATGTCATGATCGTGCTGGACCTATGATGTGTTGTGATGGTGATGAGTGCATAGTGTTGTGATAGTAATCTACCTATTCAAGATAAACTAGTCAAGCATGCAGCATTTGCACATGCGCTTGCACGTGGTTGAAGCTGCCTGGTAGGAACATACATGTACATGTATACGATCACCGTGGTCAAGGTGGTCCACACATGGTGCCATTGTTTACATTTAGCGTAACTCAGTCACATGGATGAAAGAGGTCTATTGGTCAGGGAAATATACCTGTGTAAATTGCGTGTACAACCTGCGTGAGCACAGGATGGCCCCACAGTAATGGCTTGTAATTGCCAATTTCATAGCTTTGCTTTTTAACAGAGAAAAATTTGTTTAAGCGTGAAAAAACCTTGCTTGACAAATCAGGTTGCCTAAACTTCGATTCTTGTGATGTATGTTGTTTTGGAATGGTGTTTATCTGTCTTTTGGTTAGCATGATAATCACATAGAGTTTGAGCTGGTGACGTTTGTTTATTAAACAAGGTTTTTTCTTGCTTAAGAAAATTCTGTGCTTAAGCAGCTCTATGAAATTGGCCCCTGGTTGTTGGATTATAGCCTATGCTTCACCTCAGGTTTTCCCTGGGTTTAGCACTGAAGAACCTAGCCATAAAATTTTAAGCAGGCTTCATATTGTTTGTGGGGATATGGTCTTCTGGTTCAGATTTTGGTAGATTCAGGAATTGTCCTTGCATGAAATTCCCTGGAAGATAGGTTCCATGAATTATTCTGGGGATAATGAAAAACTAAACTACTATACAATGTATTAGGCAGCTGCTTATTTGTGGAATATAAATTACCGAAATCTTTTTGTATTGGCAATGAGTTTTGATTTGGGACTTAACATAATAAAGCATAATATTTACATGAAAATTTAAGCATGCCTGTTGCAGATATTGGAGATCTGATTCACATCTGCTCCTCCCAATACAAATTAGTTAAATATGAATGAATCATTTTAGTACTTAAATTAACTTGGAATTATGGCAAAATTTGCTCTGTTTTGTTGAAAATTATCCTAGGATACAAATGGCAATTTTTATTTAGTACACAGATACACAGCCATTGCTTTATCGTTGTGAATCTGAAAGGCAGTTTCCTTACAGAACATAAACCAGATTTTCTGAACCTGTGGAGGAAAGAAGTGTCTGCCATCGAACACAAACGTCAAAGAAGATGAACATACAGTTTCATGTCTTCTTGAATAACGTTTGGAGTTGCAAAAGGGGCATCAAGAACGAGTTTCTTTTCATATTGAATCCTTGTGATAGTAGAACAGTCTGAGCTCAAAGAATTAGAAAATTAAGTCACCTTAATGCTTTTGAGGATATTTCCAAGTCAACCTTCTAGGGTTCTAATTCCATCCACCATGTCTTTTGCCTCTTCAAAGGATACCACGTTTGGTATCTAATAAATGAGTTATTAAGTAATCCCTTTTAAGTGAATGTTTCTTAATAAAAAGCAAGTTGTCACCCGTTTTATGCTTCTGATGCCCCAAAGTGACTCATTGTAAACAAGAAACTTAACTTTAAAAAAGTTTGGGAGAGATAGAAGAACAAACATAAAGGCTACAGACACTCTTTCTACACGTTGGTTATCTTTGTGACTTTCCAACTACTTTTGATGATAATTGGACAATTTATACAAGAACAAGGTGAAATAAAGCTGCTCTAGGTAAAGGGCTTATGGAGAAGAAAGTAGATGAGAAGGAGCCTGTGCTTAACAGGGAAAGCGGACCTTGGTGATGATTTGGTGTTTGTCACCCTCCATTGGCTCCAGGTCCTTGTGCTCAGCTGATTGGCCACCACTGCAAATCTAACACGCACCTGGTTTTGATGATGACACAATTGTCATTACCCAACAGGTTTCCGGAAGTTAAGGGAGGTCAGTCCCTTTCAGGCTTCCGATAGGGCCAACCTGAACTTGATTACGTGATCATAACTGATGGATAGCAAATGAATCCAAAAGCTCCTGGTTTTGACTGCCCAAGTCTCTGACTGAATACTCTGATAAAGAATTGGGACCTGGGGTGAAAAGTTGATCAAAAGTCCTCCTTGCACTGAAAAATCTTCAGCCCTTGACTGATTTTGATAACTTTATCTCCAGAATGGTAGGCTCTCTCATGAGTCCAGGTGTCCATGCTGTGGAAGGAAGCTATTGAAGAAGTTTGTTGGCATCAATTTAGCAAACTGCAGTGATGCATTTTTTATGATTTTGAAGGAGGTACAGATATTCCTACATGGAAGAAGTGGCTGAGCTGTTCCTTTATTTGACTGGGATAATAAGATAATATAGAATGTATTGTTTTTATCATTGAACAGTGGGGTGAGGGCATTACCATCTAATCAAGCTGGACGCTGAAAGGATTACTGTCAGACCCCAGCATTCCCCAACGTCTTAAGGACCTCATCCGCCATGAGCAACCCTCCACAGGGGCATCAGCACCACTCCCAACCCACCTCACCCTCCAGCTCGGCTGCCCCTACGTCATCCCACGAGGGCCTTGTGGGTTCCCCTACTGCCCCGCCTTCTTCGCAGCAACCTACCAGCGTCCACGAGGGGGAGCAACCTGTACAGTCTGGGAGGGTTGGTCATAACGGGGAATCTACATCCAGCCCGGCAATTGTGGACGGGGCATATGACAGTGACAGGGGAAACGGTATAGCCAGCACAGGAAGTGATGATAGAAAGGTCAGTGCACTTTGTCAGGGGGCTTATCCAGGGGTAACGGAAGGACTAATGAGGGGTGAAAACATTGCAGGGGAACGGAATGGGCACAGATCTTTTATGGAAGTAGGCACATGGTTGGTTGATATTACTTGAGAGTGGCATTAGCTTAGGTCCTGCATGTGTTCCTGAGCAAGGTACATGATCATGATTTGGTTGTGAGCAGACAGGTGATAGGCCTAATCATGATGTTAATTGAGGGTTAGAGTTGCAGCATTGCTTTGACAAGATGTACCGGTAATGGTCTGCTGTGGTTTTTAGATAAATTTCCTGAGGAGAAGATGTTTGCGAAATACGGACATTTCTCCAATGCTGATTGCAGATATTTTTGGTCCCAAGTGCATGTACACATTTGTAATTAGGTCATCTTCCAGTGTACCGAAAAGTAACACTTTCCTCCGACATTAAGCTGAGCGGAAGCAAGCTTGGTTATAAGCAAGCATGCCAAGAAATTCAGCAGTCATTTCCTAGCTGGGCCTTCCTTAAACCCTCAAGCCTCACCCTGTCCTCCCGCTTAGCACTGACAGAGCTCTGGACAGGAACTTGACATTTATGATTGTTGAGCTGAACCCTGAAGAAGAGGAAGGGATTGATTGATGAAGTATGTTGAAATGAACCAGTAGGCCGCTTGGCTGGCTGTTGGGATATTGCAGTTGGGGACCAAGGCGGAAAACATACAGTACACTTGGGGTCTGAGAACGTGTACATGTAGGTCAGAAGGTGGAATGACCGACCTTCCAATGTGTGAGACCAGGGAGTTGACTGTCATGTTGCAAGTATGACTATGCATTATAGGAAGGTTAATGTCAAAACTGATGTGGGGCTCAGGGGAGTGGGAAGTCTATGGGGCATATTCAGGTCACTGAAGCCTGCCTAGTCTCTCCACCCAGTGCCCTTTTGGAAGAAAAGACACTTTCTGGTGAAATTTGAACAAGTTGGCAAACTCAACACTGAATTTGTTGGAAGTCCAAGGGATACCTGAAAGTGAGGTCATCCATACATGGATGACCCTCCAAACCCTTTTCTGCCCACTCCTCTGCTACATTTTTTTTTTAAATTAGAAGCACTTGATTTACATTAGGTCTAAGATTTATTAATTAGTTGTGGGATTGAGGTTACAAGGAAACTTGTCCATGATCACCAAATTACTTGTAGGCCTAATTTTTCGTAAATGTGTTTGCCTTTTTCAATCCTCTCAGGAGAGGAGCACAGGATAGGTACAGAAATAAGAAGAACCTGCCTTAATGTTAATAATTTCTCAGAAAATTAGATGAAAAAGTAGAGTTAGTCGGTGAAAAAAAAAATCATCCAGAAACTTTGGTTTGGGACATCAAGGTTTTCTTTTGTGTTCTACCCCTCAGGTCAATATTACACCCTTCATTTGCAACCCTCCTCCCCTAGTGTTACCGGTAGTAAGCATGTGGGGCCAGCATGTTGCTTCTGTGGGGTGGGGGATTGACAGGTTGATAGTATTCTGAAGTTCACGGCCGGTTGTCTGGCAGTGTAAGTCCCTCCAAGACATGGGAAGTAAGGAAGGATGTAGTTAACGCTGCATCCGGGTGGCACCAGGAACCCCTGCCTGGTGAAAACCCACTGGGCTCTTTAAGTACCGTAGGGTAAAGGGAGTTTCTTACATTAAAGGTGCACTCTCATATCCTGGAATTTATAAAAGAAGAGGAGAATTTCATAGGTTTGCAATTTATTAACTCTAATTCCCTTCCAAGGCATTGTTTGTATTGTGTGGAAACTTTCAAAATGCTCCACTGCTGGAACAGTGGAACACTCATTATATTTTAACTTATACGTATCGGTAAGAAACTTTCAGAGGATATCAAACCTAACAAGTGCTGGGGGCTTTGCTATTGGCCTACGGGGTACCTTGCCAGTCAAGCAAACTTCCTTTAAACCTTGTTGGTTTTTGAGGGATTCAGGAGACTTGCTGGTACATATGTACCGGTACATGCAAGGTTTCTGTCAAAGCCTTGTCGGTTACTGTTCATGGGGATATATGCCATTTTATGAGGTACTAAATAGTTTATCATGACAACGTACATGTACCGTACATGCACATTTTTAACCCTGTTGCGTGTATGCAAAGTGCTTGATGGATTTTATGACATGCTACCATTTTGTATCGTATTTTGTTTTATTCCTGTAGAGAATTTAATTCCCCGTTAACACACCTGTTGCAACCTACATGTACATGTACATGTGTATACCTCTACACGTACAGTACATGTACATTTATAGATGAATATCAGGTGTATGCTAACAGCACATGTACATTATATGCACAGTCTACTATTATTAGTATATGTACAATGCAGTAGTCCAAAATGTGAAGAAAGCCACGCATTCAACATTCATATGTTCGTGAATGTAAATCCAGGTCATGATTCTGACGTCGATGGGCTGTTACAGCCTGATCGCCTCAAAATATTCCCAAGTATTCACCTTGGTACAATGGAGTTGTTTGTGTAAGGCTCACTGCTGAATGGGCGTGCCAAGTTGACGGTAATCATGCATAGCTGCTCTAGGCTCCCATGTTGTAATGAAGCAACAGCTCTTTGAGCCAGTATTTTACCTGCTGAAGGGAGGAAGGCATAACCAAATATTTGACCTTTGAAGGCCTGTTTAAAATCTTTTGGAATGTCCTTACTTACTCATTGTACATGTGCGAGTGTCTTTTTTTTTAAGTGAATAATTTAAAACAGCATTGAGGGCGTTTCCCTGTATACCTTTTGCAAGAACTGAGTTTTATAGGGATGAGGTCTCTCAAGAATTATTCATCAGGATTTTCCTGATTTTGGAATTTTACTTACAGTCTATTAAAAGATGTAGAATTTTCTGAGTTTACCATGAAAGTTTTTTTTTGAGTTGACACAGAAACAAGAAATGGGTATTTAAGGGGAGCCTCCGTGCAAACACAACTGTACGTATGTATGTATTCTTCACAGCTGAATTGGGCCCTCAAAACCTCTAGTTATTATTTCATGGATATTTTGCTTGTCTCCAATCTTGCCTCTGGTTTTCACGTGTAAGGAGTTATTAACCACCAGAAATACATGTACTATTGTACATTAGGAATTCGCCTTTAAGTAGCCTGTACCAGGCCCCCAGGCCTCCAACATGAAACTATTTGCAACAAAAACCTGAAAGAAAAAAAGGAATCACCCCCCTGGCATGTGGTCATCCAAATATTATGAGAGGGGGCTGTAAAGTTGTTTTAGTGTTGGGACTTCACATGGAGGGTTGGAGCTGCTGAAATTTCAGGGGTGGTATTGGAACTGGTTTATCTAAGGAATTGGGGACCACACAATACAGGGAAGTGAACAGTGGGAGACTTTGAGACGGCGCTTGATGGCGACAAACATACTGGTCCTTTTTACCAGTTCTGAGCATGTGTGCTAGTTCTGAGCACACATAATACCTTGAAAAAGACTGGCGGTAAAGTACACGTACGTCTGCTGCCACCAGTGTTTGTTCATTTCCTATTGTCAGAAATCAGATCTGTGTCAAAATGATTATTTCATAATAATTAAATATGCATTACAACCAGATGGGCATAGGGAAGACAAAAGCGAGGAAACTGACTATGGCCAAAATAACCTGTCTACCCTTATCTTGAGATTTAAAATATCTAAATATGTAAATTAAAAAACAAAAAGAAATACAATTTTACAAATAAGTTAAGATACAATAAAAACATCAAAATCTGGACATCATTGATAAGTCTTATACATGTACATGTAAGGAATAATGTTGACACAACTCTGATTTCTGAGAATAGGAGTCATCATTGAGCTGTTTGAACCAAAATGGATATTGCTGCTTGTTGAATGTGATAGGGAGCTAGACCAGTTTGGCTGATATCATGCAGGGGGAATTGACAAAATTCACAGATTTCCCTCTGAAGCAATTCAGCATATTAGCAACAGCAGCACCAACAATAACACATGCAGCAATAGTGCCAACAAGAGCAGCAATACTATCAAGAGCAACACCAATAATGACAGCAGCAACAGCAACAGTTGCACCACCACCAACAGCAGCACCAACAGCAACAGCAGCACCACCAACAGCAGCAGCAGCAACAGCAGCACCACCACCAACAGCAGCACCACCAACAGCAGCAGCACCACCACCAACAGCAGCAGCACCAACAGCAGCAGCAGTAGCAGCAGTAGCAGCAGCAGAAGCACCACCACCAACAGCAGCACCACCAACAGCAACAGCGGCAGCAGCAACAGC